AGCGACCATTTCTTTTTTTTAATTTTAACTTCGAAGTTTGATTGTTTCACAGCTTTAAGGGACCACTTGACACCAGACTTGAGTATGTGGTTTGAATTTCAACTCTATACTCCCCCGCGCTCCCGAGATAAAGGGTCTTGACAGACACACGGACAGATGGACAACAAAGTGGTCTTATAAAGCTTCCGTGTTTTTTTTATTTTGAGGTACGAAACCCTAAATACAAATACCAGCTAAACACAATCCTACATGAATGCGAAGCACATTGTAATTGTTCGCTGCCCCGTAAAAGGGATCACTATTATCTGTTTGTCAGATACAATCATCTTTTCTTACACTTTTTACCCTTTTACTCACAAACAATATGATGTTTTGTTAACGTTAAACATTACGTACAGTGTTGTTTCTCCATGAATTCGTGGGCCGTACCTTTGTTACTGAAGAGTACAAAGAATGAATAAAAATATCGCACCAAACAATTTGCCCTAAAAGTAGCAAACGAGGTCACGGTTTATTTATAACCCGCAACAATGCGATCGAAACGTAATAAATGATGGTACCTAATACATACATACTAATACTATTATGCGAGCGCAAGACAGGTCAACGCTCAATTCGGTGGCTGGCGGTCGCCACGTGAGTCACCGTGCGTCGAGTGTGCGCGCGCGCAGGTGGCAAGGCCGCGGAAGGCTGTTTGGGAAGAGGTGTCTTGGCTGTCTCGCGGTTATAATTAAAACTTGACATTTAAGGTGCAGCGAGCGCTGCGGTTTGTGAGTGGGCGGCATGAAGGCCACCGTTCGTGGTACTTACTGGCCAGCATTCCAAAGAGATTCCTTGTGGGCACTGCGCTGGTGTGCGTGCGTTCCGCGCTCACGCACACTTGTTTCGTGACTCGCCGCGCTTAGGGTTACCAGATGATTTATTTATTTATTTTTAGGGAAATAACAGCATTAATTTTTACATAAAAAATATAACATTAAGTTTAAACAATTGCCTAGGTAATTTCCACTATTATTTATCTCACATAGTGTCTAATAAACATGAGAGAAAAAAGAAACAATTTTTGGTATCATAATGAAATTGTTTCTGAAATAATGAAATGATAACATCAAAAATCCGGAGAAAAGGCTTGATTTCCATTGATATATCCTGGGATTTTTTACAGTTTGAGAATTTTCTCTCAAACGTACTTAACAATTTTAAAAAAGTCGTAATATTATCGTTCATACTCTGCTTATACTTTTAAATCAATATAATTTGAAGAGCTCAACATGTGGGACATTACATGAATCCATAATTGAAGAAAAAACCTTACTTAAAAATGTATCTTCACATATTAAGTATGATAAAACTGAATAAGTACCTACTTGGATAATAAAGTACTGATTTTAATTGTGCAATTATTACCAATAGAAGATTATTTTTAATTTGTTTAACTTTTTATTAAAGAGATATTTAAAACGTAAGCTGTATTTTATTGGAAATTCTAAAAATCCTGAGATTTCATGAGATTTGCAAAATCCAGCCGCAATCCTGAGAAGAGTCCAAAAATCCTGAAGTCTCAGGACAAATCTTGAGATATGGTAACCCTAGCCGCGCTGACCTCGTCCGGTGCCGGTGCCTCCGCTGCGACCGGCTCTTGCGCCGATCCATGATGCTATTTGCAAGTACCTTTTCCGGTCGATATTTCTTTGTGGATTGCAGATAAAAACAAAATCCTGTATATCTTAAAGTAACTTGATTTGCTTTGATAAAAATGAATAAGATATTTCGATCGTTATGAATGTTTTATACGTACATACACTCACGTCAGTGTTGTGAAGATACAATTCGGTTTTTAACTATCTGTTTTCTAGATAAGGGTTCATTAGGGGTCCGTGTAAGTTTTCAAATTGTAAAAGGGCTATGTAACTGTAAAACAATTGAGAATCACTGTTTGTTAAATTATACTCTTTCGTAATTTATAATATTCTTTTAGAATGCAATGAAAACCCTATGTCAAGGCAAAAAAAAGTAAACTAAAAGACTCATTCATTTAGAAATAAACCCGAAAATCAAAATGAATTCACTATTATTATCAAGCCTTCCTAATCCTCATACAATAAGCAAGAATGATTAGAATGCGACGATTAAGGAACATTAAAGTTGTTCTGACCGCCCCGCCCCGCCCGGCGACCGCGCACTCGCCACCTCGCGACGGACGGCGACGCAACCCAGAGAGAAAGCGCTCTTCACACGTTCAACTTAGAATGTAATTAAAATTAACTATGTTCTTATTCCATAGTCTCAGGTGAAAAATATCGATATTTTAAATCCCACAATATGGAAATGATTTTCTATCAAATAATGTATTTTCGAAGCTGCTACCTCTAAAAATATAGTAGATGGCAAATAAAATGGAAATAAATAAAGTAAGTGGTTAAACTATTTACTTTATTTTTGTTATGAATATATTTTTGCTGCTCAATGCCTTAATTATTAAATTTTTATTTTTAAGAAAGCACCTACTGGCAAAATTATGCTTTAAGCATAATATAGTAGTTTCGCCTACTAAATATATTTTTTTATAGATACAGTATTTGATCCCCTAATATAGTAGTGTTGGCAAACCTTGTCTAGAGTAAAAATATCGATACGGTATAATGGTATCGATATTTATAGCTTTATATTTTTAAAGAAAATATAACTAGAAAAAATTCAACGCGGACCAGGCAGCAGACGGGACTCGAACACGCACCCTTCGCTATCCGGGCGAATGCACTGACCAATTATGCTACCGCGGCCCTAACGGCCGCGTCCGAAATTCTTCTAGCCATTCTTAAACTGCAAGGCAGTGCCATTTCTTCGCATTGTAGGTAACCCACAATGTCATAACTTATACATTTACCCACCCACAATTTATATTTTTGGTCGTGTGCCCATCCCTATTTATTCACAAAAAACTCTCCAAATAGTTCCCCTAAAGTCTTCATTTTTCGTTCACACTTATATACATGTATAAAGCATGTAGTATACAATATGTACTTACATTTAACTTGTTGGATACACAAAATATGTGAAGTATGTAAGTGATTTATACTTGTCAGATACTAGTTGTCTATGCAGTGTAAACCAAATTATGTTTTAAACAGACACAATAAGTAGTCTACAAGTTTTGTTTATAACTGGTTTAATTATGACTTGTTTCTTGATGTAAACGAGGAGTAATAATGACTAAAATCTTATAGTAGTACGTGCTTTTAATGAACTATTATATATTATATATATTATTACCGTGACAATACTTACATAAATAATCAGTTTAAGTAATAAGTTTTTATGGACTTGTCCTCTCATCAGTAATGTTGTTTGTGATAGATTTATTAACTATACTATACCTTTGTGATTGACTGTAATAAAGAATGGGTACAAAAATAGGTATAAAATTATTACACATAATATAAATTTATTTATTACTGCCACTTCGACTTTCTCCTAAAACAGCAATAATTAGTAAGTAAATAAGTATCTTTTACATCCACACTGCCAATAAACGTGGTGTTTCAAGTATGCTATTACCAAAGAGCATGTACTTTTATATTCGTTATCTTGGTAAAGAAGCCATAATATCCATTCCATTCGGTCACAATTTTAACGAGGGAATTGAGCGAGCGTGACTGCGCTGGAATACTGTAGCGCTGCGTGTACGCAGCCCACATGCGCAATTATTGCCAATTGACCGCGCCGACCGCCGGCCTTTTTTAGCAACACCGCGAAATCCAAGTCAATTTACTTGCCGTCTATGATTTCTGTTGAATCATAAACAAGGAGAAACAAAATAATAGCTACCTACCTCGCAAAAAAGTGTATTTGGATCGGTCGATCGAATGATACCTACTTTTGAAATGGCGGTGGAAGGAAGGTTTGGTATATTTTTTCAAGATGACCGTGACGCGGTGGTAAGAGCAGGCGCAGACGACGTGGTCACGCGCTCCGCTGTACGTGTCGGGCCGAGACCCGCCGCCCCGCCGCGAGACCGTCTCACCGCTCACGTGACCGCGACACCGGCTAACCTAACTACCATACTCGATGATTACAGTACATTTCTCTTCACTACAGCGGGATACCTGCACACCTGATTACAGAAACGGCCTGACCTTAACTGAACCGACATAAAAAGCTAAGGGTCATGGACCGTACAACTTATTTCTTTATAAACCAAACTCAGTTATTCGTTACATTCACAATGAAACACGCCTTCTCAATTACAGTTTATTCACTACATATTGTTTTGTCAACAGCATTGTTTAAGAACGCTTCCCTTATCCGTTTCTCGTAAACTCATTATCATCACGGAACTATCGGCAGCTATTGCAAGATATTAGGAAACTCTGAGGTCATTTGTTTTGTTGTGCAACATTCGATGCGCTTAGATCGGACATGTCGCGCGATCGGCACGTACGTTCGCGCTTTCTACTTGTACAACGTCGGACATCGGTCGGGAGTTGCTCAACGCGTGCGGCGTTCTACGCGCGCGCATCGCATTCCGACGCAAACATCCGTGACACTGGCGGGGGCATTGTAGACTGCGCGAACGCTGCACCGAGGCTCTGGCCCATTATTGTTATCGGTAGATGGTAATAGCTATTGTCTATTGTGATGTCAGCATGCGAGTCCAGGCCAGGCCGCGGTGCAAGGGGGAGAGTATGGTTATGATAACCTCGCCCCTGCCTGCGGTGCGCACCCGACGCACAGCAGCGGCCCTTTATCGGAGCGTGCGTAATGAATGAGTTATTTATTACGCACTTGAGACACCTCCGCTGCCAGGAATTAAATTATGATGACATCGGCGCAGCGCTATCGTTGACGACTGATGAATGTATGGCCAGTGGCCATATCACATATGTGATAGCGTTAAGTTTTTTTAGACAATTTTATATTATCTACGTTTTTCTCTATTCATGCACAAGGTAACTAGTAATACACTATCCTCTAAGAAAGTAAAAAATCCTCCATTGAATATGAACACGCTTTTGTACTTCGAAATATTTTTTGTAATAGCCTGCATGAAAAAGCTATAACGTCGGAAAGAACGTAAGAAATAAAAAACAAAATTATGTTCAAAGTATATTTTCAACAGCCAATGAAACGGTCGTTCGGGGCAAGAGTTATTCACCCGCGCCACTCGTCGGGATTTAGAGTTTTAGATACGAACACATATCTAATCATTATTCACAAATAACATTCATAATCATATGATACCTATAATTATAGCATACGCATCGTCGTCACTTCCATTATCCATAGCGATACATCGTCGTCACAGTCATCGTCACACCGCACCGAGCCTCCGCACTGACACAGTTCAAATACAAAAATAATACTGAGTAATAAATACGGTCCCTAATTAAAGCTTTCGGTTCAGCACACGGTCTCCATGGGGATTTTGGGCGGGGCTGGCGGGGCGGGCGGGGCGGGCGGGGCGGGCGCGGCGTTGGTGAGGGCCGGGGCGGGCGTGGTGTGCGTCAGCGACTCGCCGACGGAGGGCAGGTGCGTGGAGGAGTGCGTGCCGCGCGCCGCGTGGGTGTTGGCGCGCGCGCGGCAGCGGCACCAGGCGGCGGCGGCGCGGCGCAGCGCGGCCAGCGCGTGGGGCTGGCAGCCCACCACCAGGAAGATGAACACGCCCTGCAGCGCGTTGAGCAGGTCCGTCGCGTACCACACGTACTCCGGCCCGCCCGCCGCCCACGACACCACGTCCGCGCCCCACGTCACGCCCATCACCACCACCAGCTTCGCGCACACGCGCCCGAGAGCCGCCCTGCGGGACAATATAAAGGTTAATTAACATTTTCCAACAACTATATCGTCTCCTAAATATTGTTCAACGATATTATCTGGACTCGTTCGAGGAATTGCCGAGAAAGGTTCCAGGCTTCGGGTAGAGATTAGAGTCGAGAGTCCGAATCGTCAACAGCCTAGGTGATAATCTGGAATCCGAGCGTCTATAAACTACGGTTGCTTCCTTCCGGGCGGCTCGAACGATCGGCAACCCCCGCTTTTATAGAAACGGAAGATCGCTCGCTAACCTTTCCGAAGTAGACTTGACCTCGTCGCGGCGCCACAGGCCGCAGGTGAGCTGGCGCGTGGTGGAGATGAAGAGCGCGAGGTTGATGAAGAGCAGCACGCCGACGGGCCCGAAGAAGTACACGAGGATCTCCATGTCGCCGTAGAACCAGCAGCGCTGCACGGCGAAGCGCGGGCGCAGGAAGGCGGCGGCGGCGCCGGGCGGCAGGCGGTCCAGCAGCGCGGCCGCGCCGGCCAGCGCCAGCGGCCCGCCCCACGCGTACAGCATGTACACGCGCAGCCGCCACGCCTCCTGCCCGCGCTCCAGGCTCGTCGGACGGAAGTCTCTATTACCACAAAATAACACTCATCTATCAGTCATTGTTTCTTTTTTCATTTTTTTTCTATATGGCTTCGCACGGTTTGTGCATTTAGCCAATGTCAATGTCGAGTGTAAAATGTTTACATATTCTATAGCACTCGTGGTCAAATATTAGTAAAGTCAAAGTAAGTGGCAGTCGAGTCGATCCCCCTTACCGTATGTTTCAGTAAATGTGTGTGTGGAGATTTACTGGAACCTCCCCGTGGACTTCTTGAGGGAACGTCGAAAGACACTTTCCGCTGTTTTGTTTCACTTGCTAACACTTGTGCAAACACTTAGTGGTTAATAATCCACCATTATTAGACACTAACATCCGCCACAACACAATTTTTAACAAGAAAAACAAAACTGCTAAAGTGACGCTTCCCGATCCCGCCAAAAAGTCCAGTCATTGTTTTTGATCATAGACCGACACAACCTGACGCAGGAGCCGGGCGTCCGTGTTTCATCCAAATCGATTGAAGTTTTCCAAAGTTGTGATAAATAAATGTAATGTAATTAATGATTATACCGACAGCGTGCTTCGAAAGGCACGTTAAGCCGTTGGTCCCGGCTGCATTTGCAGTCGTTTGCACCCGCCAATCCACACTCAGGGCCCGCGTGGTAGGGCCTTGGCCTATTCTATCCACGGGGGAGGCCTGTGCCCCAGCAGCGGGGACATTAATAGGCTGATGATGACCGACAGCAAAAAACCAAATCGCTTAACCGCCACTTTGGTCGAAATTGAGAATTTAATATGTATAATTATGATTAATACTTTGTTAAGAAGTATAGGACGGCCGAGTGAAGGGCGCTATATAGAAATTGTATTGTATAGGGGTACGAACCATTATCGAATTCGAATAGTTTGCAAACCGAAATGTCAATGTCAAATTTTGTATGGAAACTTGAACAGCAGCTGCACAAAGTACGTAACGAGAACTAAAAATCAGTACACATTTGACAATGACATTTCGGACTCGCAAACGATACGAATTCGATATTGGTTCGTGCTAGGGGTACTGTAATGGATCAATTTTACGCTGTTAATTATGTATTTGATCTGTGCCCTGTACCTACGTAATTAATGTAACTCTATTGATGCTCCTTATAAATAAAAAGTTATGCTTACATTTAGTGATGTTAAGATACGAAGATTGCAATGCTTTTGTCACGAAAAAAATATACCTACTTACGTTGAAGAATCAAAGAGATCTGAATACATTATTATTTTGTAATCTAATTAGGACAAATCCAAATAATGTTCACTAATTATATCGACACAGCAAATATTTATAAGTGTTACTTACTTAGTTAACAATTAAAGGTAGGTAGACTACGTAAATTATTGCTTATTCATTATTATTAAATCAAATATGGCAATTAAGAACAGTAATGCGATGAATCACTCTTACAATTTAAGCAAACATGAAAATAATTACGATCCCAAAATAATTATTTTTTGATGACACATAATATTTTAACCTACTGGTTATTCGTACAATCTGAGTGAGTTGTTGGGAGTATTTACATAATACATAGATAACAGCTACGTTAAATTCTTTTCGGGGTTGAAAGGTAAATTATTCAACTAAAATAAATTTAATATTCCTAACACCTAAGCACTTTAATGCATTTTATTATCTCATTATTTCATAATCTCAAAAGTTGATGACGGGTTTTGTTGTGATATAGAGAATACAGTAGTAGTAGAATTGGCCCATAAGGCCTAGCCTATCCTACTCGCCTATTCTAAGGCAGCCTCGAGAGATGCAACAAGAGGGGGTCTAATAGGATTATATCCCTACCTTAAGGTAACAGATAAAAATAAATAATTAGTAATCATAAAACCAAAGAGTACCTATAGAACAATCTGAAGGGCAACTCCACAGCACATGTAACAAGCGAATTGGACGACGACGCCAAAGTACAGGGATTATGGAGGGCTTACATTTTTTATACAAAGATTTAGATCTATTTACTGAAAAAAGATTTCGATATTAGAAAGCGTAGAAAGGAAAAACCCCACCCTAACGTTTAGTGTGGAGGGCCTCCAAAAAGATCAACAACATGCTTAACAAAGCACGAAGGACCTCGTTTTACTAAGTTTTTGGGCACCCATCCAATGACCGGCCATTGCGAGTATAACTTCCACGATCGCGGACCGAAGGCCACTAGCGTTTTCGTGTTCTAATTTCTTTAAAATAATAGGTTAATTGTACTTATAGCTACATGCAACAATAATATTGTTGGCTGCATGTCGTAAGCTACAGTCCGGAAATGATAGTGACAGTGATTAGCCCATTGCCTTAGCTATCAAATACAGAGATTTGGTCATTTCTGCGCTCCCGTCCTGCGTGGGAAAGGTTGAATGACTTTGAAATTATGTCAAACAAAGAATTACGTTATTATTATACAATACATTAAGGGTCAGCACAATAATTATTGAAATAGTAAGCACTCTGTGATTGGCTACGGATGTTATACAACTTTCGAAATGGCAGGGGCCTAGTTAATAATTGATTTCAATTCTGATAATGAGATAAGCGTTTGTCGTAATGACACTTGCTTAAGCTTAGGGCATCGCGGAAAGAGTAACATTTTAATTTAAATGAAAATCATTCAATTAAGATCTATGCATAGGATCATAGCTTCAAAAGCTAATCTAATCTTCTTCTAAGCTCTTCAAAAGCAAAGCTAAAAAAAATGGGTTAATAAGTTAAGAAACCGGACAAGTACGAGTCGGTATTGCCCACCCAGGGTTCCGTACACATTTGTATGTACGCAACATAAATGTGTCCAGTCATCAGTCAAACATGACCAAAAAAATAGCGTTTGTTTGCAATAAATTGCACTTTGCTCAATGTTGTTATTTATATTTGATATTTGTATTTACCAATAATATGACTATAATATCGTTTGCAGCTCCGAAAAACCTCTGCTAACCTACCTAGCACCTCGCAAAAAGTGCTCAAAAAACCATTAAATTTTGTGTATTTTTTCATCTTCTGGTTGCTAACTTTTGAAATTTTCAACCTATTGAAAAAGTAGTTTTCTATTACGGTAACAATATGTATGCGTGGCAACACAGCAACGACGTTTATAAATAATAGTAACTACGAAAAGCAAATGGACTTTCGAGTGATCTGCAGTTTCGCATGTGACACAAGAGACTGGATTCTTGTTTCCAGTTGGCGAATAACGCGACAGATCGATGGTACCTACTTTAATAAAATTAGGAATGGATTACAGAAATAGGTAGGTACCTATTTTGTTCTAAAAATTAGCATTAATACATTTTAACATGAGGACTGAGGAGGACATTGTGTATGTGAGCACAACGATATTGGCAAAACATTTCTTTAAATCACTTTAGAGATGAACGATATCAACTTTACATATATTTTTTTAATAAACTCTTTATTAATAAGGTCGATAGGAATCGTCGCCGTCGAGCGACAACAGGAAAGTCGGTATAGAAATCTTTTTTCTTATTTTTGGTGCAGGTGTTTATAATTGCGTGTTCATTTTGATGACGATTCCGTAGTGTCCGTTATGTTGTTTTATTTATACAAATTACCGTTCTCTGTAATTTATGTCGTGACATATTTTTATAGTTACTCACCGGAAAGTCCACCATATGTTGAAGCACATCGTGTTGAGCCAAAAGAAGGCGGACAGAAACAGGAAATGCATACAGACGGCTGCACGACCGCACATGAAACAAACGGCACTCGTCAGCGAACGAACACTTCCCGCCCGACACGATACTACACAATCCTACGGACGGTCGAGCTCACCGAGGACTCGGCAGAGCGTCGGCGGGACCCGGTCGCCCGCCAGCTGCGTGGCGGCCAGCAGCACGTCGCCCAGCATCAGCGCCGCCACGTAATGCGTCTGGCAGCGCCAGTGCAGCGCGTGGTGCGCCGCCGGCAGCGCGAACCCGGCCGCGAGCGTGGCGGCCAGGAAGGCGGCGCCCACCGCCAGTCCCGCGCCGTAGAGCGCGTGGCGCAGCGCCTGCGCGGGGCGGGCGGCCCTCGCGGCGCCGGCGCACGCCAGCACGCGCGCGCCCGACTCGTCCGGCACCGCGTCCGCGCACCACGCGCCCGCCGCCAGCCGCGCGCCGCCCGCCAGCACCAGCGCGCCGTCCGCCGCCAGCCGCGCGCCCGCCACCGCGCCCACCACCGAGTACCGCGACCCCTCCGCGCAGTCCGCCCACCCGAACCCCACCGCGCTGCCGTTGGCGAGCGCGCGCAGCTCCTCCAGCGCCGCCAGCGCCCGCTCCGGTCGCTCCGGTCGCTCCGCGCACCGCTCCCCGTCGAACGCGCTGCGCTCCGGGCAGCACTTGAGCGACGGCATCGGGTCCGCCGCGCACACGAGCGCGATGCCGTAGTCGGCGCAGAACCGCTCCGAGGGCAGCTGGAACACGCCCCGGAGGAGCAGCGACGCGTTGTTTCCGAGGAGGGCGAAGGCGGCCGAGTGTTCGCGGACGGGCCGCAGCTCGTCGCAGGCGGGGATCGCTCCGTCGACGAGGCGCCAGTGCGGCGGGATCTGGCCGCGTTTCAGGAAGCGGCGGCGGGACGGAGCGAAGACGAAGGGCGTCCAGGCGGCGGGCTCGGGCGCGGGCTGGCATGCGGCGAGCGCGACGGCGCGGGTCACCACCTCGGGCCGCAGCGCGTCGTGCCGCAGCGCGTGTCCGGCGGGGCAGCAGCGCGGGACCGCCGTGTCGGCCAGCGCCTGCCGCGTGGGGCCCGCGCCGCCCGCCGACACCCACCACGCCGACAACCACACCACCACACTCGTGAACATCATGGTCGCCGTTCACCGCTCCCGAGAACGGAACATTTCATACACCACGCACGCTGTGGGCTTATTCTCGTTGAAATATTTAACCGCTCGAGTCCACCCTTGATCCGGCACAAAAATTCCCAGCAGGATCACTTATCGTAAACATGTTCGCTCGGTTCGTACGCGAAATACAAACACGTGGTATCGGACCCGGCGCGCGACTAAAGTAACCTCCCGCTTCGACCGCCGGCGCTACACTGAGTGACGGCGGCGCGACGCGCGGTGCCGCGGTCGCCCCGCACGCAAATCACGCAATGCCAGACGGAGTGGAGTGGGCAATGATGCGAACAGCTGATGGCGGTTGGATGGATGGCCGCGGTGATGTGGTGGCAGGCCGGACCACACCAGGACGTGGAGCAAATTCCGAAATAATAAACACTTATAATAGCTTTTTTGAAAGATAAATAAATAGGTTGATGTAGATGTCAGTCAAGAAAAGATACATACTTAAATTCTATCTGTAATTTGTTGTGATTAATTAATTTTGGCTCATTTTTTTATATACCTTTAATTTAATTTGACATCTTATTTTTTATTTTAATGCATTAATTGAATCTGAGACATTTTTATTTTAGTTAGTATACTTTTTCAGACAGTTTACTAGTAGGTATTTGTTGCTTTTTTTCAATAACACATGTGGTGTTCATCTTTAATTATAATAAAGTTAAGCTTAAGCACTTTATCATTCCCGCTTGATTGTTGAGTCAATGTTTATTAAGTTGGTGATCATATAAATAAATTATGTTTATATGAATTCAATGTAGGTATGTAGGCTTATTTTTCGCCGCATTTCAAATGTGTTTTTTAATACTTTTCTACATTTGTCGACATTACGGATCCTTTCAGGCTCCGAGCCCCGTTCTCCGTTCTCACGAGACAGATGCCTATAACTGTAAAGGTCCTACACGTCGAGATAGCATGTGTACATATATATAAATTTATTAAAAAAAATGAGTTTTATTTAATTACTGGTGTGCGTGAAAACATAAGAAATACATAAATAGAAGCATATTCTTTTTATTCGGTAATTTTAAATTAGAATCATCAGAAATAAAACAAAAATCTGCAAAAATAACTTTTTATTCACGCACATTAATCTTTTAATAAAGACCCGCCCTGGGTGCCTCGTAACAAAAAGTGGTTAGTATCATAAAATAGTACAGAAGATAATCTACGTACAAAGTACGGCTAGAGTAATGCACACATAGACACGCTCACGGACACTACTCGTATATCTCGAACTCGACTGGACTGGAGAAGTGATCAAAACAATATATATTAAGACATATGTTAATACTCGAGGTAGTTTTCCATACAACCACTGACACTTGATAATGATCCAAGCATCTTGTTGTACCATGCACCTCACTAACATAGGTAAAGGAGTTTGAAGTGTGACCCAAAAGTTCTAGGCAAAATTCACTAAGTTCTTTATCAAAACGTTCACTCTCTAGCATTAATAGTTATTTATTATACAAGAGTGGAAAGTTCCTTTTTAACCGCGTGCTCGATTTGGATGACCGAGCAAGCGAAGGATTCTAAAGTTGAATCACGAGCGCAGCGAGTGATTCTAAATTAGAATCCTGAGCGTCAGCGAGGGAAACAAACGAGCACAAGGTGAAAAATCTTTCCACTCGAGTGCAATACGTAACTTTTCATCCCACCTCAGCGAGGAAATGACAAAATGAAAAAGAAAACAATTTATAATGACAAAATATTTAAGCAATAAAACGTGAAAAACTAGAATGGCGCGAAGCACGCAAATAAAACAAAGAAACCAAGAAGGTTCCAAATTTAAATTTTTTCACAATTTAAAAAGTTCTAATCATAAATTTGGCACCATAGAGGTTACATTAAATAGGTTTAATGACGTTTTGAATTTACAATTATATTGAGTACTCATTATATGTGATGTTCTAAATTCAAATCTACTTTGCCGCTCAAGCGAATAAAATAGAATTTTCCAGCCAGATTTCGAAGCGCAAAATTACACTTTCCGAGGTGGTGGGATGAAAAATCACTTATTTATTTATTTATTTATATCACATTGCTCATGTACATTTTTTATAATCTGTTTAAAGAGTCAATATTACATACCTCGACGTTCGCAACTATCTCACCCAAGCATTCTGTATATTCGATCAGATTCTCAGCCAGACCCGTCTTTCCCAGTGGGCACTTTGGACAAGTGCCCAGGGCCCCGCGATCCATAGGTGGCCACCTCAGATCACAAATACAAAGTTCCTAGTTCTTGTTAGATCACTAAACGGGGGTCATAGGGGCCCCAATATCCTAATAAGCCCCGGGCCTCCAATAGGTCAAAGACGGCACTGTTCTCAGCCGAATCCGTGGGAATATACACAGAAAACACTAAAAACGATCGCCCTGATAACACTACTAATAGCTGGCGGTTATTTAAGTGGTGTTATCAGTGGTGGTGGCAAGTGGTGGCCTATCGCTTTACATTGTATCACTGTTACAGCTGCAAATGCACTTTTTCGCCAAATTATGGCGACACTACCATCAGGTCTCCCGCGCAGCAGACCACTCGTATCTACCTGCTGATTTCCCCGTGAACTGGAACGCTGGGTCGACAGTATCCAAAAACGGAATATCATGCGGCAACAACCAAGTCTTGTAAGCCCTTTCGGCTAGTTATTCCTTCTGGCCACAATGTTTCGTCCAAAAATAAAGGTAATTTACATTCTGGAACAAAAATCTTGTAGGCATCGTAACGCTTTGGAACTTTCAGGTTGATTTTCTTCATCATTATAATAATATTATAATTATTGCTTCACTTTGGTAGTCCAGAAAAAATATTCGCTAAATAATAACAGAGAAATACCTAGTCTCGTCTCTTTGAGAATCCGTCAACGATCCCCTACTTATGGAAATGTGTGTGTGTGTGTGATTTGCTAAGACTTGGCTTTGTATTCCTTCATAGTATTGTTCACAAATCACAATACTTGTACCGGGCTCACAACTATAGAGAGTATTTTAAAGGCATCGATGTTTAAATGGTTCCTGTCTAAACAAAAAACTGAACGGTTTTTTTCCATTGTATAGAGAGATAGAGATCCATTTTCAATGAAAAGTGATAATCCTATTCAAACCCTCACTCAGGTAAACTCCTTTTTAACAAGGTAAATTGCGACGGTACGATTCAATGTAGCGTTTGCGTCCACAATATATCTACTTACTCAGAATTTATTCAAGTAATTTTGATTGACTGTAGGGAATAGATATTTTCGCGAAAACGCGCATAATTAGACAATCGCGATGTAATTTTCCCAATCTTACTGACAAAAAGATAGCATTTATGCTAAAACGCGTGTCGCCTCAGTAGGATTGCGAAAAGAATCGTTGGCTTATTATAAATTTTCTTGGGTTATTGTGTTCTTGGATTCACACTACATGATGCACGAGGTTGAACGCGCTTATCTCAGAGAATACTGGTCTGATTTTGATTATCGCGAACTTTTTTTAGACGTTGATGTAAAGAACATCAACTTTAATACATCACTTTGAAATACTAAATTTTTAAATGTGGAAGAATTTTTCCATCGGTCCAGTAGTTTCGGAGCCTATTTAATACAAACAAACAAACAATCAAATCTTTCCTCTTTAGAATATTCCGTCGGCCGTCTGGAGCAGTAACCTCTACCTTATAGGAGACCACAGTATAATAACACTACCGTTTGATGGTGATGTGTTCCTGTCGGTGAGTTAGGTGTAAGGGCTCCACGGGGTAGGGCAAGGGCGGATCCAGCTTTGGCGCCAGGGGGGGTCATATAGTCGTGGTCAAGTCACAGTGGGTATAGATTGTGAAGTACAGATTGTAAAGTGGGTACAGATGGACCCAGCCCAGGGGGGGGGGGGAAGGGGTCATGACCCCCATGACACTCCCCCGGGATCCGCCCTTGGGGTAGGGGATTGGGCCAGGGTAGGCAACGGCGCGAGTCATATTTTTGATATAGCAAGCGTCTATAGGGTATGGTGCTTGTTTAACACCCTATTAACAACGTAAAAAAATGCTCTGCTGTTAAAAAAAGTTTATACTACTTTCGATTGCTCCATGCCATTATTATTAAACGCATCTGGAACCAGTGGTTTGTACACATCCATCACTTTTATCATTCTTAGTGGCCCGCCCTCGTTTCGCTTCGGTGCAGAGCTGTAGTGTAGGTAGACTATTGTTTTTGTTCTCAGGCTTGTATTATACACAATTAATTTCTTTATATAATTATAAACCTTCCATGAAAATTTATTTAAATGATAGTGAACATTTTGTTGCATTCTTCAGGACCCGTTGTACCGAATCCAAAAATCCAATTTTTTTGGTTGAACGTGCAAATCTCAGGTCTGATTTGAAAAAATCTTTTGTTATATAGTACATTTATTGAGACAACCTTACGGCTTTATAACATCAGGCCGGCCAGTAGGAACGGAATATCGATGTAAAATATTGCAAAAACGGGTTAAAATATTCCATTTGTGAGCTTCCGTTGCGTGCGCTACATAAATGATTAAAGTTACACAAGAATCATGAATGACGGAATTGTTCCCCTTTAAAAGTTCTATAAAAAAGTCCGCGATAGCATATGCCCATCTTTTAAGTTTTGCTCATTAAACCCGTTTTCCTCAAATTAACGCGGGTAAAATCTCTGAGGACCTATTATTTGGGACATAACTGTATTAGTTAACACATAAACATATGGTATCTCGGACTTTTTTGTAGATATTGATGCCCTCTATAAAACTTTAGTACATCACTTTGCTCTACTGTCAATGACTTCCGCAGCGTAAGCGATACAAGGTTATTTTTTGAAATATTTTCACACCCGATAACGTAACCCATCACATATTGGATTACCTTATCGAAGTTTTTAATAATGACTTTTATTCCGACGACGCATTCCTGTAAAGGTAGGAAACGACAGTAAATAAATAAATTCAGTACATATAACCCGTTAAAACTGTTTTATTTAGTACTCTATAGCCTATGTTCATCAGGGATAATGTAGGATTCTAAATGTGAAAGTTTTTTTCAAATCAGTCCAGTAGTTTCGGAGCCCTATTCAATACAAACAAATAAAGCTTTCCTCTTTATAATATTTGTATAGATAAATCTCATTCTATATTACAAAATATCTCCACAGAAGGCGATTTGCGTAGCTAGGGATATTTCCAAGGAGCGGCAGTAATCCAGCAAAACTTAAATTAAATCTAAAACTGTAGCCAGTTTACAACACTCAAATTGCAATTTGAAACAAACTCGATACAAATACTTATTCATGACAGCGAAATTTTCGCCACCCGGCACCTATTGTGTAGTAGCAAAACTAAGTAAAATAGTTCTGAGCACAGTCAGCGCCATCTATTGTGTAGTAGCAGAAATACAATTCAAAGCATGTTTAGCGCCATCTGCTGTTTAATGCTAAAAATGCATAGCATAATATTTAGCCCGAAACAGCATGCATTACCTATGCAATGCAATGAGTTTGATTGATGAAAACAAAAAAGATGGGCCGTCTTGCAAAACGAGAATTGTAGGTACTTGTAATTTCAATTCACTTCACTAACATGCCATTGTAATTGATTAACAATCTCTACTTAGTACGTGTGCAGTGCACTGTTTGTATTTAAAAACAGTTGAATCAACAGTACACGTCTCGTAATTTTAAAAACAGTTTCACGCGGTTACGGAAGGGAAAATTAACGAACAAACCTCAATTTCAAAAATTGGTGTAGCCATCAGAAACCATCATTGTTTACAAGTGAAACTGTAATACTTATCCTTAATAAAAAATAAATCCTTTCTAGGCTGGGAATCGAACACGGGCCGCCCGCGTACTACCACTGAACGCGGATGCTTTTTGATAAGGTCTGAATTTTTAAAAACATTTAAAGTTGTAATGCAATTTGCTTAGATCATAAAACAATGCGGTGATGTAATAAATGTTTCACTTTAAAATCAAATTTTTATTACTACCACCATTACACACGTATTTACATGGACCGATAATAAATATAATAATGTTCCATGGCATTATTGTATAATCAGTTCTTTGTGTAATGTAAAAAGCATTAAATAACCTACCTTATACCCAATTGTTATCTCCTTTCTACAATCAGGGATGCTTTAAAAGAGGCGTGATGAAGCATTTGTGTAGGCCGGCAAGGTGAGGGTGGTTGACGTAGCAGTTCATAACTGCAACACCAGCTATCTCTGCGTCTGACTTCATCACCACTTAATAACATCAGGGGTGGGGTAGAGTCATTTGCCTAAATAAATATGTACTTATATTAAAAAAAAAACCTAAAAATTCCTAATTTAAAAAATCAAAAACACGAATGACTTGCGTAAATTAAAACTATAATAAGAAGTCCAGTACCCTAGCATGAACCAATATCCAATTCGTATCGTTTGAGAGTCCGAAATGTCATTGTCAAATGTGTACTGATTTTTAGTTCTCGTTACGTACTTTGTGCAGCTGCTGTTCAAGTTTCCATACAAAATTTGACATTGACATTTCGGTTTGCAAACTATTCGAATTCGATAATGGTTCGTGCTAAGGGGAACAGAAGGCTGTAGAGTGCTCTGTACTTTATCTAAAAAATACTCCTAGGAGTTCGATTGCAGGGCACCAGACAGGACAGTCTTTTTTTCTTTGAAGGAGTGATTGGGTTGCGGTAGCGAGTAAATTTTCAAGAACTCGACGAGGTAGGGGGACACAGGATAGATAGACAACCCACAACTGCTAAAGTGGATATTATTTATCTTTCAAGTCTTAGGACTAATGAGGCATTATTCTAAGTGAAGGTTAAAAAAATAAGTGGCATCGGCGGTGTCAGCCGCGCGCCGATGCGCTACTCTGCCACCGGCTGGCAGTTGCATTTTCCCATTATATAACTGAGCATAATCAAATGATCTCACATTATTCGATAAAAATAATGAGCACGCACGCGTGAACAATACAATAGGTGGGTATTATTAAAAGGTATAGTTCGTTTCAAACGTTTAGAGAGCAAGAGTAAACAAAGACGTACGTACTATCGACGCTGCTACAGCAGCTCAGTGATGAATGAGGGAATTTGTAGAGCTAATAGATTTTGAGGAGCTCGTTGGCGCGGGTGGTTAGCGCGTTAGCTGCGATCGTTGAAGTTAAGCAACTCGCAGTGGTCGGTCATTGGATGGGTAACCAAAAATCTTCTATCGCGAGCAGTGCCGTCTTTGACCTATTGTGGGCCCTGGGCATATTAGGATAATGGGGGCCCTATGACCCCCGTTTGGTGATTTAACAGGAACTAGGGACTTTGTATTTGATCTGAGGGGGCCCCTAACGATCGCGGGGCCCTGGGCACTTGCCCAAAGTGCCCACTGGGAAAGAGGGGTCTGATCTCGAGTTCCTCCATGCTTCGGAAGGCACGTTAAGCCATTGGTCCCGGCTGCATCTGCAGTAGTTAGCATCCCCCAATCCGCAGTGGGCCCGCGTGGTGGGTCATGGCCCAATCTCCCTATTCCATCCATAGGAAAGGCCTGCGCCCCAGCAGTGGGGACATTAATAGGCTAATGATGAAAAAGATTTATTTGGATTTATGTATTATCGATTGATCAATCATCATATTCTTCAGAATTTATCAAAATCTATATAGGTAGCAACTAATTGAGAAGTTAAGTTTTTGTTAATACACGCTCTCAAAACAATCGGAGCGGACTTTAAATAGGCGAAACGGAATCCATTCCATCTGACTCCGACTTTCCGAAATGTCTCCGTGCCGGTTAAAGACCATCTCGAGCTCTTGGATCTGGACATCTCATCCAGCCTCAATTTCGGTGGCTACATCGAGTCCATTGCTAAAACCGCTGCCAAAAAACTTGGAATACTTCCTAAGGTCAGGCGATATTTTACATCTGAGCAGCTCCTTAGCCTTTACCGAGCCCAAGTTCGCTCCTTCTTGGAGTACTGTTGTCACCTTTGGGACGGATCTGGTATCAGCTGGATGCACTGGACTCGGTGGAGCACCGTGCGAAGAGACTCATAGGCAATGACGCCCTCGTTGAGGCTAATCTCCAGAGCCTTGACCATCGAAGACGTGTAGCTTACCTCTCGGTGTTTTTTTATCGGTTACATTTCGGAGTGTGCGGAGGTATTACATAATTTGATCCCCCCTTCCCCTTTCCACCACCGGACGACCAGGCGCGGCGAGGGCTTCCACCCTTATGTTGTCGAAGTTCCTCCCATTCGCACGAAGCGATTTGCTTCGGCCTTCATTATGCGAACGGCTAGGGAGTGGAACTCCTTGCCGAGGTCTGTTTTCCCGGACCAATATAATATAGACATGTTCAAGGCCAGAGTGAACTGGCATCTTCTAGGCAGGCGTGTACCATTTTAGGCCTCATCATCGCTTTCTATCAGGCGAGATTGTGGTCAAACGCCTTGCTTATTAAGCTTTAAAAAAAAGTATAATTATCTTATAGCAACATATTGATCCAGGAATATTTGTGTTAAATATTATATATTGCATTATTTTTTCCAAAGAAGCCCGGTGGGTATATCGAGCTGAGGTTACAGCGTTCGATCTGCCAACGCGGAAGTTAAGCAACTTTCGAAATGGCCCGGCATTGGATGGGTGACCAAAAACTTTCATCTCCCTCACGGCTTCGGAAGGCACGCGAAACCGTTAATCCCGGCTGCAGAACACAATCTCACACGTTAGAGAATAATGTCTTTGTTTGCACACAGCATTAACGACACACCAAATCATTTGACACTTAAGCTACAAGGAAAATAACGGTACAAAAATAAGTCATAGAACACTTTATTGCACAACGAAAATAACAAATACTTTAGGGAAACACAGACATTGTACAATAGGAGCAACGTGTCCACAACAAGCTATAACCTAATGGTTTCATTTTGAGATTTACTCGTCAGATTGAAAAATATATTGCAGTCATAAGAACCCCCGACTGCCGCCACTACGCGCGCTGGACTTGGAGCTCTATTTTTGAATCACTCGTCTTGCGTCGAACGCTCGATTTCTACTAAATTTCATTCGACATAATTAATTCCGTATTTTTGAATCGCTCGAGTGCAACGAATGGGTGAGACCACTCGCTGCATGTCGAATGGTGGAGGCGAATGATAGAATAATTGTCAAATTTTTTGCGCTTTTAGACGACGATGATCTATTATTGTCATGCTTTACTTTATATGAAACGACAACGAGAATTTTTTGTTCGGTTTTCATTGCGGTAATTACCGGTTTTTATTATTTCTGCGTGAAATGAGTAAAATTTTACATTTCGTATTAAACAGGTAACATCGGTGACGAGTGATTCAAAAATACAGAAAATAAGTATTATGCGACTTGAAAGTCGAATGTGACTTATGTCGCATTCGACGATACTATGTCAGACGAGCGATTCAGAAATAGAGCTCCTGGGCAGCTGGGCCTCGACCGCCCGCGCCGGGATGCTTTCACGAGGGTTCATCTATATCTCTAAGTAGCTGAAAAAATCAGCTTTTATATTTCAAAAGTTTCATAATATTTACATTATCAACCAATCGGTTAAGAAAATTAACTGGATGAACCCTGCCCTTGAAGGCAACATACGATAACGGCACGAAAGCTTTTTGACTGTCTTATTAAATACCTAAATGACTTGACGTAGTTTGAGCACGCATACCATATTAAAACCACTGAATAAATAAAAATTATTGAATAAAAACTAAATACGTCATCAATACACATGTTGTGTGAAAAGAATGGCAGTCATATAAGTAGGTAGGTATTTTTTTATTTAAAGTGATGATAGAGAAGAGAATGTAAATCAGAATAGACGATACTTTTTTAATTTATTTAGTGATATTAATAAATAAATATGAGTATATGAATTTATTTTCCTTTCACTAACAATATATTAATAATATTTATATTTACATTTAGAAAAATACTATAACAAAATTTATTGAAACAATTTTTGAGTGAAACTGTTTTCAATTATTACCCATAGTCTCCAACAGGTGATTCATAGATGAGCGATAAAAAAACAAATTATTTATATTTACTCTATCTACGCATCGATTGGGGTCATTTTGCATAGGAATATCTCGCCGTATATGTATTGGTACATAATTATATTAAATGATTTTTACATTACATTTTTATGGATTTTAATTTTATTTAGAACTTCCTCTAATTAGACAATACATCATTAATTAATATTGAAACTTGGCAATGTTGTTAATTAGTATTTCGATAAGTTAGACGATACATTATACGTGTCACATGGAATTTTGTACACGTCAACAGTATGCCAAGTCAAGTAACTTTGATATATATTAATCAATATTAAAGTAATTATAACAATCAAATACATAACGTATTATTAATGCAAACAATACAATGTAGAGATAAATTCAAGATATTTTTATAGAAATTCACGGGAACACAGTACGTTGAACACTGATAACAACCGAGTTTTCAAGGAATGGAATCATATTGATTTAATAACAATACTGATTTTATAACTGTTCACTCCCAATTTTAGCGCTGTCAGTGGTTAATATTCAGAACTTAAAGTAGATAGGTAAGTGTCCCAAATCGACAAGAAAAGGTCATACCTAGATCGTGAAAATGGAAGAAGTAAACATAACATTTTATATTTTGTTTAAGTAATTAGAATGCCTGCATAGAACCCATTTATATAACCCATAAGAGCAGAGTACTCGGTTAACGTCTCATCGCCATGCAAATCACAGCACACACGGAACCGAGCGACCGTCGCACGGCCTCATCGATGGCCTTGCGATTCTGACTCGAAACCGTTCCACGCCAACGATTCACGTTATTTTCTGAGGGATGCCTTTTACCAACAATTTTCGCTCACTAATCTTCGATCACTAGAATTTCATTTTATCGACTGTTCGAATTTCGTACTTCGAAACTACGGTACACGCGCTACTCAAGATTAAAGGGAATGTAATGACAATAATTTGGAATAACAACAGACCGACTCACACGCGTGACAATTCCGTACAGATTTCATAAACTAACGTCGTTCACGATAATATTAAATTAAGGTACCGTATCCTCGCACGTATCTATCCGAGGGGATTACCGTTTAACGAGTAAGGCATTGTCCTAATACAACGCGATAACGCGAATGATTCTAGAATAGGTGTCCTAATAGGCGACTGAAATGTTTAAAAATCTATTCGCACGAATTTAGTTCGCGCGAACGCGCAATCAACCCTATCAATGATGAGTAGGTGTCCTGACCGAAGTTCGCGCGATGATCGACGATACTCGCGTAAATCGTGATCGCGTATTCGCGTTCTATTGGGACACCCGGTTGGCGATCATGCGACGGTCGTTTTAAACGCGCGATGATCGCGTTGCGTTAGGACAACGCCTAAAACGTTCGTTTCGGTCGCCGAGGTAGCGGAGGGAGGCGGCGCCGGCGCTGTCGGCTACGGCGGGTGCGGCGCGGGCACGGGCGCGTGCGGCGCGGGCGCGGGGGCGGCGGGGTTGTGCGCCGGCAGCGCGTCGTAGCGCGGCGGGTAGGCCCACGGGTCGTAGCCCAGCACCGACAGCATGGGGGCCAGCTCGGCCATATCGGCGCGCACGTCGGCCGGCACGCCGCTGACCCACTTGTCGAGCGCGTCGCGGTTCACCGGCCGCACCACCTGGTCCGACGACCGCTCCACGCTGAAACACACGCACCGCCATCACTCCTCCGAGCTCCGAGCTCCGTCACCCGACCGACTCTCACCCCGCGATACTCACTTGGAGAGGGCGACGCCGTTGGGCTGGTTGATGTAGCGCTCGTGGTGCAGCACGGCCTCGTCCCAACGCAGGTCGAGGAAGGCCAGCACGCGGCGCAGCGTCTCCTCGGGCCGCAGCACCAGCGCCTCGTACCGCACCAGCAGGCACTTGTCCGCGCCCATCGACTTGCACTGCTGGTACATCAACTCCACCGCGTGGTTCCACTTGGTCATGCACTGCCTGTGGCTGGACAGGTCGAAGCCCGTGATGGTGACCTGCGATCGGGAGACAGCGTCAGCGTGTCGCGGCGAATCGACGGAGCTCGCTCGACGCGGCCGTCGACCGACGCGCGACTCACCTTTCGGGAGATGATCGAGTGGACGGTGGCGCGACCGTCTCGCACCATGAACAGAAACTTGGAGTTGGGGAACAGCTCGAGCACGTAGGTGCCCATCTTGATGACGAGCGGGTCCTTGTTGCAGAGGCGCGGCGCCGGCTCGCCGTGGCGCACGATCACCTCGAGGCAGAAGGCGGCGATGGCGTTGTCGAGCACCGCCTTGGAGACGCCGGCCTGCTCGAGGCGCACGCTCTCCTTCTGCGAGCGCGTCCAGTGCTGGCGCATCTGCAGGATGCGCGGCACCACGCGCGTCTCCTGGCCGCAGCGCACGTCGGGGTGCGCGTCCAGCATGGCGCGCATCAGCGTGGTGCCGGAGCGCGGCACGCCGCCGATGAAGATGAGCGGCAGCTCGCGCCCCGCCACCGGCTGCACGTGCCCCGCGCCCCCGCCCCCACCGGTGCCCCACCCCGCGCCCCCACCCGTGCCCCCGCGCCCGCCCCACACCCACAGGAGCAGCGCGGCGACGCACAGCACGCCGCCCAGCCGCCACCGCGGGCCCCGCAACATCGCGGCGCCCCTCACACTCGTCCCCTGCAAAACGACCACCACCGACCGTGGACTTCGGTAACTGCCGACTGTTCGAATCGAAACGAATCGTTTAACTATGAAAAGTACCTAGTTTTTAAACATACAACGACAGATCAAAAACAAATTTAGCTTTCAGAATAAATTAAAAATTTATTATAAAAAAACGAAGTAGTCTGTTCAAAATCAAACATCATTTGCTTCTCAGGTTTTCACGCACACCACTCATTGAATAAAACAAGTTTCAACGGGTAAGATGCACTGATTTTATTTATTTATTGACGTTTCACATTGTACTGTCCACCACGTATTTCACGTTGCAGAAGCACACTTGTAATATATTACTTAGAAGTTTAAAGAGTACGCCAATAATAAGATTAAAAAGTAGTTAAATTAAACAAAAAGGTGTTGCTGTTACTAAGTTTATGCAATACTATTTACTATATTATAAAATTATTATGGGTAAACAAAGTTACGAGCGACACAGAATATATACATTACGGCGGTGACGCGCTAAGTAGGATGCAACGTAAACATTGTATAATTCATAATACCTAATATGTTACGTTACGGTAAAACCGTACACATATCACACATCCTTTGCAGGAATGCGTCGTCGGAATAATTGCATACCTGCAAAGAATGCGAAATGTCAATAAATAAATAAGTGCATCTAACCCGTTGAAACTTGTTTTATTTAATAAATCATTAAGTTAATTATTAACACTTTTCTCTATAAGAATATAACTTACTTTATTACCTACTGGAACTGCAATTTAGCTACTAGTAAAAATAACCTCTCTGTACCTATATAATGGTACCGATTCTGGCATGACTCTCTAAAGCTAAACTTAAAGATAACACTGGTGTCAATTCTGACACAATTCTCTAAACCTAAACTTAAATTTGACAACAGTGTATCCTTGTCATTCTCTATACGGAATTAAAAGGAGAGATTGATGTTTAATTTAGTTTTAAGTTTAGAGAATCACGCCAGAATCGACTCCAGTGTATCCCTGTCATTCTCTATACAAAATGAAAAGGACAGACTAATCTTAAATTTAGTTTTAAGTTTAGAGAATCCTGCCAGAATCGATTCCAATGTTTATTTATAAACTCGCTCAACTTTGGTCGCAGAAACAACGGTTGGGCTGCGGTCAAACTTGCGGCCACGACCGCGACTGGACGTAAAGCTGCCATATTGCTGGTCGTTTCTCTAATTCATTAATAATTTACCCTGTAAATTCTGTATAAAAACTTATTGCAGAAAAAAAGGCTTAGTGTTGAATTACGGAACGATACAAAGCATGTTCACTCACGAACTGTCCGCATGACACTGCACACTGATAATGACTGGTCGCGGCCTGGCCGCATTCGTGGTCGCAGATCTAGTGCGCGAGCGTTCATAGCAAACTGTACGTAATTTGGCCGCAACGACCGGTCGTACCGGCCCAGTCAGTGTGCGGCTAGTTGGCCGCTCTGCAGCCAAATGCGCGCGGTTCGTATTGTTTCTTTAGTTTGGTCGACCACGGATCGTGATCGTGGCCGCCTAGTGCACAGAGTGCCTAATAGTAACACAGCACTGTACTGTGTATATTTTTATGTTTGAAAACATTTATCCCAAAAGATAATAATGTCTCAGCTATTAGATAGAAATACAGGGTACATACACAAAATAGAGTACAGAAGGTAATCTCTTGTACTTACTAACTTTACTACGCTCGGCGGTCGCGCTAGTCCACTTTGGCTTATGCACAAAAAAGTATCGTAGGTACTTAAAAATCAAACAAAATGAGCCACTACGAAAGTCCTAGTAGCTTTCTAGTTCTAGTATCTAGTTCTTTGATTTATTGTCGAGATTGAAACAAAAAGAACGAAAATATAAACCAATAATAACTAAAATATTTCAATTTTATTTTATACTAGCTGTGCCCCGTGGTGTTACCCGCGGTTTATTAGGGCATTTTCCCGCAGTAAAACGTAGCCTATGTGTTAATCCAGGGTGTCAGCTCACTCCATACCAAATTTTATTAAAATCGCTCCAGCAGTTTAGACGTGAAGAAGTTCTAACATAGACACACACACACAAACTTCCGCCTTTATAATATTAATATATGCGTGATATATTTTATTTTATATTACAAATGAAAAAATAATGATTTAATTTTGAATTTAAACAATCTTTTAGTGAATTGATATCATTTTTTTTTTGCTCCATTTTTGTACAAAACAGTTCACAGAAACGTGTCTCAAGCAAATAGAACTGTGACTGTCAGGATACATTATATATAAAATTGGTTGAGTTTAAATAAATCATATTAATTGTACATCATGTACCAAAATTGCACTTGCACAATTGTTTTGATTTTGAGATAGAACCCCATAACAAAAATGGTCTAATAATGACAACTTTGAAGGCCTGAAAAATTATTACTTTCAATAGCAAAGAAATGCTATTGAAAGTAATAATTTTTATATTTACCTATATCCAACTTAAGGAGCTCTAAACAATAATGTGTCACATGCCAGAGTATAAAAGAAAAAAAATCTGTGACTTTTTCATGTACCTATGAGATTCCAAAATTCAAAAATTTCAGTTCTCCAACTCATTTCCTTTAGGATCTAGAGTTCAGTGACATACAAACAGTCAGATAGATAGCAGAGTGAGAGTAATAAGGTTTCATTTTTACCTTTTGGGTATGGATCCCTAAAATGGATAAATTGATGTCAGCTTAGTTTTAAGCTTAGATTATAATTGGAGTTTACTCCTTAAGATATATAAGGGGCCCGGTATGAGATAAAAGTGAGGAGTAAAATCTATGGATGAATGACCTCGTTACGTTTTTGGTGCGCATCCTATGTCGCGCAACTTTGACAAACAAAGATGACGGATTGATATTAATAAAATTTTTAAAATCTGAACTGAATTTAGATATTGTTTCTGATACAGCAATGGGGACAACGAGGTATGGTACGATCATTGATGCGGTATTTTCAAGATTCGTGAACCACGTATCTACGAATGTCCATGTGTCTTATTTTAGTTACCATAAACCACTTGTCACTGTAATTAATAATGCAGACAATGTTGATTTTATTTAATATTTAAAAAAATGATAATAGTCTGATAATAATAATTACATAATTTATCAACATTCCTAATGATATATTTATGCACATCTGAAATCGACTATTTTAAAAAGATTAATGTAAAATATTTCGTTGATTAGTTATAATAAATGTATATGAAATGAATAAATATATATTTATATATGTATATTATTTTCATTAATTTGTTAATTTACCCTTTCATACAGTATCAATCATTTTTAAGTTAAATAAAATATTTTTGCGTCTGGTTAGACTATCGAACTTAAGGAGTAAACTCCAGTCGTGCATTGAAGCTGACACACACAATTTATTTTTATTTTTAAGCATGTAACTGCTTGATGTTTAGAGAATCATGTCAGAATCAGTCCCATTATGAACTCTACAAGTTACTTATACCTAATGAATTTTATATCAGCAAAATAACAACCACTCTCAAAGACATCAATAAAATTTTAAGGTTGTTTAAAATTCATACTGTGTCTTTTTTCACTGTAACAACTGAATACAATATTAAGCATTAAATTCAAATAGTCTCTGAGTGGGTGGTTAGAGACTTGCTTAAAACAATAAGCAATCATCAAATAAACTTTTCAAAGTAATATATTAATTCCAATTGGAAATAATACAAATCTTTCAAATAGTTTAATATTTTAAAACAATCAAAAAGATTTGTATCAGTTGTAAAGTAATAAAAGAAGCATTAGATAAGTATTATTTCTTGTGAATATACAAATACAATATTGCCAAGAATAAACAAGAACTCAGCACACTAAGCACAAAAACTTTCAAAAATTATTTACATTAGTTACATGGGACTTACGACCACAATGGTTGTTGTTGATATGTTTAAAACAGTCCTGTAACAATTGATCATGAGTAAACATAATTGCTTAGATAGTATACAATATCCAATTCATCTAAGTTATTAAACTAAAAAGTGTAATTATTAAAATCTTTTGGCATTCTAGATTTGAGCCAAACTTAAAAACTTTAAATATGCTGTTATATGTATAATGAAATAATTATTGGTTTTAACCTAACTTCTTATCAGTGTATGTACTAATGGAATTTTCTAAAGAACTGCATGAAATGGGGCCTGCATCTAGCTCAATTCTCTTAACTTACAATTAAATTGAATATTTGACAACAGTGTTTCCTTTTTATTATATGTGGAACATATGGACATACTGGAATCGATTCTGGCATGAATCTCTGTACTAACATAAATCCCTCCTGTTTATTCTGCAATGGAAATGACAAGGATATACTGTTGTCAAAATAAAGTTTTGGTTTAGAGAATCATAACAGAATCAACACCACAATTGCTAAATTTAGTTTTGAGTTTAGAGATTTACACCTGAATTAGGACCAGTAATGTACCTAATTAAATAGGATTAAGCAAAAATTGGTTCAAGAATGCTCAATGGTGGCAGTTGATCTTCAGTGATGAAACTGAATGTAATACTTTAAAATGATTACAAAATTTAACAGTTCAATCTTAATATATCTTTGTATTTTGTACACCCAGCATATATTTAAAGACAGTAAGGCAGTGAATTTTATTGTATTCACCTTTTACTCAAAATATTATAAATATTATCTTGTGAGATTTCAGATTCTACCCACAAATTTATCTATGTTGATTTCTTAATTTATCAAATCCTATTCAGCAAAGTACTCTGTATCCTAGTATTCTTTTTATCATAAATTAAAACAGATACAATAGAATGATTATTTTGCCTATTGGAGATTATTAACCACTTTTAGTCCATTACACTATTTCTAGACTTTTGCATTATATTTAGTTGTAAATATAATTACAAACAATTTAATATTAGGAAAGAATTTTGAAGAGACTTTAAAGAAAAGACCAGTGTCATAAAGTTTTAACTTAAATAAACTCACCTACATCAAAATAACCTCCTAAAATGTATTCCAAACTCTTGCCAACACATCTCTATTGGAAATTTTTATTATTCCTGAAACACTACCAACTACACTGTGTGTTATGAAAAATGATATGAGCTTGTATTTCTCATAAATATAAATTATAAACAGCAAACAGACGATGGTATTTTTTCTATTTAATTTTCGACCGCTAGTTGGTATTAATTTATTATTGTAAGTTGTAACACAATCACGATTATTTCTTGGGTTAGCAAATCTAAGTTATTAATTCCACTCCCTGGCAAAAACTGAAATTGCCTACGAAAAATACTGACCGACTGAAATTAAAACAGTACTTGTTGGTATCTTTTTTTGTCTGTGTGTCACGTCTCTATGGTCCTTGGGTCGGTCCTTCATGGGTCGGTCCAAGTCTGTGACAGCTTTGTCACAGACTACCATAGAGTTTTTTTTTGTTCCGTGCTCTCGGTTCATCAAACGGAAAAGGCAAAGACGACATAATGTTTAATACTCATAAAGGAATAATATGGAACTGACACAAGCATATACTTCGCGTGTTTACTTATAAACAAACCGGGGAGCAAACATGGCGAACGTAGGATGTCTTTAGTCGATACTTTTTATCGTTGTTATGTTTTATTTGCTGTGGTCAAAGCACACACGTCACATATATATACTCATAGATAAATGATTGGTCTCGCTCAAAGTCGACTCGACTAAATACAGCGCTGTCAAAAAACAAGAGCTCCATAAATGCGTAGGGACACGAAAAAAGTATCAATACTTTGTAGTATCGAGTACTTTTCCTTTCGATACCGATACTTTTGTACTCGATACTTGGTTTTCGATACTTCAACTAAATGAGTACTTTTTGGCAAGTATCGATACCATTTAAATTTTGGATAAGAGCCTTATATTGATGGCAACGCCATCTAATGGAATCATAGCAAACTTTCTAAAACATTCCATTGCGTTGATATAATTGGAAGCACAAGCAATATAGTGTGTCCTGACCACAGACATATAGTATTATATGTCTGTGGTCCTGACACTTACGTACTTGAATTACGCACGGTTAGTTTTGTAGTTGATTATATTAACATTACACATTTTTAGGAGTATCTACATAATATAGAAATTTGTGAATTAACATGTCCTTTTTATGTTTTTAATTATAATAAAATTTGATTGTTTTTCTTTTAACGGAGGGGAGGGGGGGGTTGCTCATGGCCCTATGAAATGTACTCGATACTTCGAAGTATTGATACTTTTGTTTCAATACTTTCTTTTCTATATCGTGTCCCTATAAATGCGGCAACTCATTATTGTAGTGTGTGTATGTCAATTTGCAATGATACTATCAAATGTCATAAATCTTGTAGCCAGCTGCTCAACTGCTACCCAAGTAATAGGGAAAATATTGTAGGTTATCATTAATATGTACCAGGTTATAAATGTAGCTCATAAAATACTTGAAGAAGATGCACTTAATTAAATGCGAATATGGGCTCAATAGGCTAGTTGACCCTTTTTGGAGAAAGGTTGTAAATGGTTAAAAAATGTTCTATTAGACCGAAAAAGAATATTGTATTTTTTGAGACCTAGAAAGCTGAAAGCTACAAATCTTTAATTTTAAAATAGACTTTACATGGACATACAAAAACGCTGTTGGCATTTTAGTCTATCCTCCTGAGAACCACAACTTTTGTTTTCGGGAATTTAATTTAAAACTTACTAGATCGATTTTATATGTCACTAGATGTTCTCAAAAAATGGAAAAAAAATGTCTGTTGGAAAATCTAGATTTTCTCAATGTAGTATATATACAACATCAGTTCTGTATACCTAATGTGTAAAATGCAGTATGTTTACAATATAAAAAAATGGGTGCGTGTACTTATGTAGTCGCGTGAGAATACAAATGGGTGCATGTACTTATGTAGTCGCGTGAGAATATAAATTAACAATAATTAATTTAATGTGTTAATTTTTTGTGTTACAGTGATGCGCGCGCATCTTAAAATTTCACTCTCATAATTTTTTCATAACGCGCCTAAGGAAGTATAACTTCAAAAATATTTTATATAATGATAGTATGTCGGTATTATTTATGTACATTTGCTGCATAAATAATTCAATGCATAGTAAAACACAACTATAAAATCAAGTAACGAGGCATTTATTTTCTAATTTTAGTCTAAGTAGTTTTTTACAAACCTCAGTTAGCAGATTTGCTTTATTATCTTAAAAATTACGAAGCTTTAACAAAAATCTCCATATAAAAGAAATTACGTTTTAACATATGCAAAAATTATACTTAATTTTTTCTTTCTATGTTGTAAATATACTACAGTTTCACTCAGGAGGCTATAGCTTATCTATGATAAGACGTCAACCGGTGGTGGTAAACAAAAACTCGTAAGCATGTAGAAAATAACCTATCTGAGTTTATAATAAAAAAACATGATTTTTAATAAATACCACGAATGTAAAAACACATCCTTGAAGACTCCAGGAAAGTTGTGGATTAAAGTGCCGAAAGAAATTAACCTACACAATGATGTCGATTCTGGCATGATTCTCTAAAGCTAAACTTAAATTTGACAACAGTCTATCTTTGTCATCAGAGAATGTCATTCTCTGTACAGAATGAAAAGGACAGACCGATGTTAAATTTAGTTATAAGTTTAGAGCATCCTGCCAGAATCGACACCAATACCTGGTTAGAACTTGCTAAACAGGATCCTACAACTTTATCGACTCATAGTAAAATTTATTTTTGCGAACATCACTTTGATGTAAGTTGTACTCATTGAATGATATTTTAAGTCTCTTCATTAATTATCAGTTTTAATAAGACAGGCTTTAAAGTTATGTATGAATGTCAGTTGTTTACTACCAAAGAAACGTCACAATCATGGCGGATGTGGCGAACAGCGTTTTTAGTGTTTAAAAAGTATAGACTAAAGAACAAAAATTGTGTGTGTCAGCTGCGACGCACGACTGGAGTTTGCTCCTTAAGGTCGATAGTCTAACCAGACGCAAAAAGAGTTTATTTAATTTAAAAAAGATTGATACTGGTGTCGATTCTGGCGTGATTCTCTAAACTTAAAACTAAATTTAACATCAGTCTCTCCTTTTCATTCTGTATAGAGAATAACAAGGATGCACTGTTGTCAAATTAAGTTTAGCTTTAGAGAATCATGCCAGAATCGACATCACTGTATATTATTAAAATAATGGTGCCAATTCTGGCGTGATTCTCTAAACTTAACACTAAATTTAACATCAGTTTCTCCTTTTCATTCTGTATAGAGAATGACAAGGATATACTGCTGTCAAATTTAAGTTTAGGTTTAGAGAATCATGCTAGAATCGACACCAATATACATATATAAATATATATTTATTCATTTCATATACATTTATTATAACTAATCGACGAAATATTTTACATTAAACTTTTTACAATAGTCAATTTCAGATGTGCATAAATATATCATTAGGAATGTTGATAAATTATGTAATTATTATTATCAGACTATTATCATTTTTTTAAATATTGATTAAATCAGTTTGTCCTTGGTGGGCGATTATGTATACGCCATTTGTGCATTTAAAATTTTAGTTCATCTGTATCAAAATAGATGGCGCTGTAGTTCCTTGCATCACGCTTTTAAATATGTTTGGAGCTACATATAGGCAAAACTTCAGACGTCGCGGCGTCGTCAGAATTCAGATGTGTGGTCGACTCGTAGTGTCTGGCGACGTCTGTGGACGCATCCGCCGATGTGTAGAGGGGGCATAAGGTCTATGGTATAGATGTGGTCTATGGTGATTGCTTTTGGGTATATTCCGAAATATACATCAGTATACTGGCCAGATATATAGATATATATAGATTAGCAGACGACATCGTCATCATGGCAAAAACCCTGCAGGACATACAACATGTGCTGAATGAGCTGGCTAACTCTTATATACGCATCGGCCTACGGATGAACTTGGATAAAACCAAGATCATGTTCAATGAACATGTTCTACCGGAACCGATTGCAATACACGGTGCCATTCTCCAAGTTCTTCAAAAATATGTGTACCTCGGGCAGACATTGCAGTTAGGTAGAAACAACTTTGTAGACGAGGTGAATAGAAGAGTTCAGCTAGGTTGGGCAGCGTTTGGGAAGCTACGTCAAGTCCTGACATCGTCGATCCCACAGTGCGCAAAGAGGAAAGTCTTCAATCAGTGCGTCCTACCTGTGATGACATACGGAGCCGAGACGTGGACACTGACGGTACGGCTGGTCCACAGGTTCAAAATCGCTCAGCGCGCTATGGAAAGGGCTATGCTCGGCGTTTCTCTAAAGGATTGGATCAGAAATGAGGTAATCCGACAGAACCAGATTTATCGACATAGCCCACCGGATTAGTAAGTTCAAGTGGCAGTTGGCTGGCCATATTTGCCGAAGAACTGATAACCGTTGGTGTAGACGAGTTCTGGAGTGGGGACCGCGTCTAGGCAAACGTAGTGTAGGACGTCTTCGGACACGATGGAGTGACGATTTGCGCAAGGTAGCTGGCAGGAGCTGGATGCGAGTAGCCCAAGATCGATCTGAGTGGCGTGCATTTGGAGAGGCCTATGTCCAGCAGTGGACTAAGATAGGCTGTTGATGATGATGATGATACTGGCCAGTAGTAATGACGTCACGAATCCGACGTCATATTTAACTGGTATGCTACCATATTTTTACCGGGAAAACGAATATGACGTACGGCGGAGCGTGCGTGAGAAGCATCCAAATTTTATTTCTTTTTATTTAAAGAACAATAACGGCTTCCAAACAAAAATTATTCCTTTTAATTGATGAGTTAAATAAAAAATCTTTTTTATTCGCACTATTTTTAAGATTTCGTCGATTTATGACGTCAGTGCACTAGCCAGTATATTTCGGAACAATTCACCGGTATAATGTCGATTCATGACGTCATTAGCACTGGCCAGTATACTGGTATACATTACGAAATACACCCTCTATCTATGTTTATGAGAATCGTGAAACAAAATGGCGGAGGAGCTTGTCAATGTTTAGTTGTCAAAATAGTCTCAAATATCGCTCCCTCGTCTTTGTGATATCGTAAATTTTTCATGAAATAGTTTAAAAATCGGCATTTAGCCATTTTTATTTAAATGGTGTCGTAGATTATATGAAGTGATGACTATTTTTCTGAAATATTAAGTGAGATTAATTTAGAAATCATTCGCATTGTCACTATACACTCACCAAATCGCTTCATTCAATATGGCCGCCGGATTGTATTTTTCTCTGCATTGTTTGTGGCGGTGTTCGTTTTTAGATGTTCTGTGGTATTTATTCAGATAAATGCAATGATTTGTGTTGTGGACATCTTGTAAATAATCAGTTATGATATGTTTAAGAACATTTTTGTGACAATTACATATTTTTAAAATTGTGATAATAATTATTATTAGTGGGCTTCGGAAGTGTAAAGTGCATTTAATTCAGATTGAAAAGAAGATTAGTGTTATTTCTCGCAATGTCACAACATGAGCGGTTGCGATGATCCGGACTCAGCACATAATTCTAGTTCAACCTTGCAACTCATGGTATGTATTCATATTGCGCGCGTTTGCCTCCGTCAATATTTACAAAATTGTCAATTTTTACTAACCTTTAAAATTTTATTTTATTACAATTTATATTAAATTATGTGTCTCATTTCTTTTAATTATTATATTTCTCGTTTCTTACTAAAATGGTGACTTGAATTGGATTTGTTGTTGTCGGTCGAGATATATATGCAATGGGTTATCTCCTTATTACTCACATTTCTATCTACCTTTATATAAACTTAAAACTGGTCTTGTTAGATTTTTATATATACGTTAGCAATACGTTTCTGTGGGCGATTCTTTAGGTAGGTAGAAGTTGCTGTTACTGTACAGTAAATTAGAAATAAATGAGATGTCTGATTTGTTTGTTTGTATTTTTAATTGTGTTCCAAGTACTTATTACATTAATCTCTTCCAGGAAAGGATTTTTTATGTAGAGCTATCATTTAAAAATAATTTTATGTGTTCTATCTGTGTTTACATGTAATGTATATAAAAACGTTTTATATTGTTTTATTTATAAACTTTAGCTAGAGATGTTAAATCAAGAGGGGGAGGGGAGGCTACCCCCGACTAACCCCCAACAAAGATTTTTGCTGGAAATGTGTTTTAAAAAAATTTTACCTAACCAAAAAATTCATTAAATCTATTAAATGTAGTAGAATTTCAAGGGGATTATTGTTAGGGAGGACCTCTCTAGAGGGAGAACTCCCCTCCAGCCCTCCCTCCCTCCTCCTTATATTGGTTAGCACTAAATGCACTGTGTGTGTTTATTTCTACTAGATGGCGCTAACATACACAGTTAAAAAAAAAGTTCTAGTGGAAAAACCTGAAAGTTAAGTAGGATTTAATGTTTGGTAGGTACTTACTGAAGTAGTTGATTATAACACGGCTCTGGTTTTTTTAATCAACTAGGTATTACCATTCCACTGTTCGGTTATTTTGTTACAGTAATTTTTAGTGATTAAATATTTTGAAAAAAAACCTAAAATAAAGAACAAACCCATGCAACAAATGTGATTTTTTTGCCTTTTAGTGCTCTATATTGATAACGAAAAAACTAAAACCTAAAGTAAAGAAAAAAAATAGGTAGGTACCTACTTAACTCAGGAAATAAAATAAAAATAGTTGGTAACAGATAGATCCGCCAAATTGGTTGGTAAAATTATATGTAAATACTAGCTGACCCAGCGAACTTTATACGGCCATAAAAATAGGGGCTGGTGGTAGAAGGGTGTAAATTTAGAGTTGTATGTATTTTTTAATGCCACATAATAAAATTAACAAAAAAAATGTTAGGGAGTGGACAACCCTTGTCACTAAGGGATATGAAACATTGATAGTATATGATAACTGAAACATTGATATATGAATGAGTGATGTGCGTGAAAACCTAAGAAACAAAAAATATTCATAGTAGCCGTTTCAGAGGATCATGGTAACTAACATAGTGACACGAGAATTTTATATATAAGATGAGAGAAAGCCAGAGCTCAAGCACGAACTTTGACAGCTCCATAATCGTATCGCATCGTAAAAGTTTTTTTTTTTATTTTTTTTTTTTATTTATTTAATTCAGGTAACAAACAGTCTTATACAAACAATTTTACAATTTATGTTTACAAATAGACCTAAAGTACCATTAATTGATATACAATTATTATATTCAAGCGGCATAAAAGTGACGGATAACTATAAACATATGATATACATCGCCGCTGCACATGTTAACTATTTAAACAATAATTCACTTATTTTCCTTTTGAAGCTGTAAAGTGATTCACTGAAAATATCTGCTTCATTCAAGTTCTTATTGTAAAAATTACATGTCCGTCTAAAAAAGGTTTCTCTAGCATAGTTGGTATGGCAACTCGAAACATAAAAGGTATCTTTTGAACGTGAGGAGAAACGAGGAACTTTGAGTACAATACTCTGCACAAGTTGAGCTGAGTCTATGTGATTGTTTATTATTTTGTACAGAAACATGGCATCCAAATACTGGCGTCTACAGACCAATGACTGCACTTCATGTCTTTTTGCACTCTCTTCATAATCATTATAATAAAATCCGACACGATAATCTAATGATTTTATGAATTTGCGTTGTACACGCTCTATTCTATCCTTGTGCACAGCATACTGAGGATGTGACATATGATATGACATACATTTATATGTAAACTAAGCAGCGCCCTTACTGGACATAAGAACAAACAATATGATTATGGATCTGTCAAAGTTTGATTGACTGACCAACGCTCAGCCTAAGTCATTAGACATACAGAGTTGAATTTTAATTCAGGTGTTGTCTCTGAGAAGTACCTTTAGGCTGTTTAGGTAAAATAAAATCTCCCTTCTGATTTCTCACACACGATGGACCCGGCACCTGCATGGTGAATCCATGGATTGCAAAGAAGTTTGTCCTCTTGTTGTTTCCAAAAGGCACGCAAAGGAATCAGTCTAGATAAAGCCTTGTTAAGCCAATGAAAATAAAAAAGACTATCTCTCTCTTGAACCAAACAAAACTCATGTGATGTTTTTAACATGTTACAAGGCGCAGGTTCAAATCCTGTCTGTCCACTTGTTCCATCAAGTGGATTTTTTTTGTAAACAAATTTGCTTTAGATATAGTAAGAACTTTTTTTAAAACATGCAGTCTCAGTATTTGAGGCCCCAGACTATTTCCTTTTTTTAAAATTTTGTACTTTGCCTAAATTGCTTCAATCTAATTTAAACTTTTCTTTTGATGTTTAGTGGAGATACTCCTTTCTCTGTGACTGGGAATTCACACAGACCCCTTCTTACTTTCACATTACTAACATGATCTGCAAGTGTCACAAATTATATGTAACACTTCTGTCTCAACTAAGTTGATTTTCTTACATGCTCTTTTTAACATATCTGGCATCACATTTTGTATAGGGAACTGTACCTTCTGGTTAAGGGTTTTACTGCCAAGAAGTTTTATCTATGCTCCATTAACTCTATTTCGTGCACCCACTCATTTTCTTCCTACTTGAAGCACATATTATCATTATCAACCGTAATCCTTATGTTTGTTCTGGAGTCCATTTTTTTTTGGAAAACCATTATGTTCATTTTATTTGCATTCAGGTGTAAGCCATTCTCCAATCATCTTTCATTACTGTGATCAGTGTTTGCAGATCAGCTGGATTATCTGCAACTACCACAAAATCTCAGTCATCTACATTTTCACAATCCCACATTCAATGACCTTAACCTCTGAGACTCTTGTCACAAGATCATCGAGACTTAAAATGATGAACAGCCAGGCTGACAGCATGCAGCCCTGCTGGACACCAATATTGATGCAAAACCGGGCGACAAGCTGCCGCCCACCTGTACACATGCTCGTCATCTTCATAAGTTGACTGTACAGAATGCAGTAGCGCCGTCAATCCCATATCTCGGAAATACATTGCAGGCAATATATCTCATTGTTTACACACAAAAAAGTAGGTAGTAACTTACTTTTACTTTACCCCCAAGTGGCAAATGCTCAAGAAATCTTCGGTTTGTAGGGTGTGGAACGCACGATCGCGGCTGGGGGTGCAGGGGCCGCGGGCGGCGGCGAAGGCGGCGGCGGCGCCCTCAATGGCGGCGCCGATGAGCCGCCCTGCAAGCGGCCCAAACTCGCCGTCGCCGCCGCCGTCGCCGCCGACGACGCGTCTGCGCTGCGCCGCCGCATTCTCGAGGCCGAGCTTTCGCGCCTTAGAAACCTTCGGGAGAAGTAAGTTTCGCTGTCTTTTCACCGCGGCCGTATACGTTAGCGCCACATTTATCACACACGTTCATGTCACAGGTTCACCGAACAGCTGAGCGAGCTGTACTTCCTGCAGGCAGGCGGCAACATGATGGACTACGTGGCGTGGCGGAAACGACCGCCGACCGCGCAACTGGTCGCATTCCTGGAAACCCGTCGTCCGCCCCCTATCGCGGTTTCGGTGGCGCCAGCCGTGTCGGTGCCTGCCCCCGTGGTTCGAAGCTCTGCGGCGGTGGCGACGACTACGACGACGGCGGTGAGCGCGTCCAGCGCGCCGGTGGTGTCGACGGGGGCGGCGGCGACGGTGGGGACAGCGGACGAGATGGTGGAGAAGGCGAAGCAGGAGGCGTACGTGGCGTCCCGCGTGGCCGAGCTGGCGCGCGCCGGCCTGTGGCCCGAGCGACGTCTGCCGCGCGTCATGGAGCCGCCGCGGCCCAAGACCCACTGGGACTACTTGCTAGAGGAGATGGCTTGGCTCGCGCAAGATTTCGCACATGAACGCAAATGGAAGAAACAGGCGGCTAAGAAGGTCGGTTCCTTATAAACTCTGTTTAACTGCTAATATGAATTATGGATTGTGAAATATTAATTTGCTTATCTGTTTCAGTGTGCTCGTGCTGTGCAGAAATATTTCCAAGATAAAGCAATGGCGGCACAGAAAGCTGAGAAAGCGCAGGAATTACAGTTGAAGAAAATTGCGGCGTTCGCAGCCAAAGAAATAAGAACATTCTGGTCAAACGTAGAAAAAGTCAGTATTTTTTCTTCAATTAAGTATTTTATGCTAAAAGTGATGTGTTTTAGCGTTTTCCCTTCATAATCTGTTCGATTTTTCCAACAGTTAGTCGAATGGAAACGAGTGAGGCGCATAGAGCGCGCACGGAAAGAGGCATTAGACGAGCAACTGAGCTACATAGTGGACAAAACGGAACGGTACTCGAGGCAACTCGCCGCCAATCTGGCGCGGCCCGCGGACGCGCCCTCCGATGACGAATTTCAGCCGCGCGGCGCCTCCGACGACGACGAGGAGACCATCGCCGCCGCCGAGCGCGAGGCGGGCGCCGACGCCGCCGACCACCGCGACGAGATCGAGGCGCTGCGCCGCGAGTCGCGCCTCGCGCTCGCCGACCTGCTGCCGCCCGGCTACCTGCCCGCGCACTCGCCGCCGCCCTCCGACTACGGGCCCGACGACGACGACTCCGCCGACGACGAGGAGACCATCGCCGAGCAGGAGCGCGCCGAACCGCCCGGCCACCACGCCGCCGAGCTCGACGCGCTGCGCTCCGACGCCGAGCTCGACATCGCCGAGCTGCGCCGCAAGTACGCGCCCGCGCCCGCGCTCGCCGCCTCCGTGCGCTCCGCCACGCCCTCCACCGACAACGAGGACGGCGACGGCGACGGCGACGGCGACGACGATCAAACCGACGCCGGCACGGAGGATTCCTCCGACGACGCGGCGTCGACGAGCTCGTCGGAGGCTCTGGAGGCGCTGGTGGAGGACGCGGAGATGGGCGAGGCGGGGCCGGCCGCGGGCGCGGGCGCAGGCGAGGACGCGGCGACGGGCGAGCAGCGCGTGGAGGCGGCCGCGTCGCTGGCGGCCACGCTGCAGCCCACGGGCACCACGCTGTCCTCCACCGCCGTGGCCACGCCCGTGCCGCGCCTGCTGCGCCACCCGCTGCGCGAGTACCAGCACGTGGGGCTGCACTGGCTCGCCACCATGCACGCGCGCCGCCTCAACGGCATCCTCGCCGACGAGATGGGGCTCGGCAAGACCATCCAGACCATCGCGCTGTTGGCGCACCTGGCGCTCGAGCACCGCGACTGGGGGCCGCATCTGGTCGTCGCGCCCACCTCGGTCGTCCTCAACTGGGAGATGGAGTTCAAGAAGTGGTGCCCCGCGTTCAAGTTGCTCACCTACTACGGCACGATCAAGGAGCGCAAGCTGAAGCGCGTCGGCTGGACGAAGCCGAATTCGTTCCACGTGTGCATCACCTCGTACAAGCTGGTCGTGCAGGACCACCAGAGCTTCCGGCGGAAGAGGTGGAAATATTTGATTCTCGACGAGGCGCAGAACATAAAGAACTTCAAGTCGCAGCGGTGGCAGATGTTGCTCAACTTCCAAACGGAGCGGCGGCTGCTGTTGACGGGCACGCCTTTGCAGAACAGTCTGCTCGAGTTGTGGTCGCTGATGCATTTCCTGATGCCGGACGTGTTCGCGTCGCACTCGGAGTTCCGCGAGTGGTTCGGCGACGTGACCGGCATCGCGGACGGCTCGCACCGCTACAACGACGCGCTCGTGCGCCGCCTCCACGAGGTGCTGCGCCCCTTCCTCCTGCGCCGCCTCAAGGCCGACGTGGAGCGCCAGATGCCGCGCAAGTACGAGCACGTGCTCATGTGCCGCCTCGCCAAGCGGCAGCGCTTCCTCTACGACGACTTCATGGCGCGCGCCAAGACCAAGGAGAGCCTCGCGTCCGGCAACCTGCTGAGCGTGATCAACGTGCTGATGCAGCTGCGCAAGGTGTGCAACCACCCGGACCTGTTCGAGCCGCGGCCGGTGTCGTCGCCGCTGCAGCTGGCGGCGCTGCGGCTCGCGGTGCCGGCGCTGGTGCTGGGCGCGGGCGTGGCCGCGCGGATCGAGGCGGCGGCGCGGCTGGGCGGCGACCTCGCCTCGCTCGAGCTCAGCGGCGTCGGCGCCTTCCCCGCGCACCGCGCCCGACACCTGGCTCCCCCGCGCGCGCTGCTCGAGGAGCTCAAGCCTGCGCCTGCGCCTGCGCCGCCCCCGCCGCCACCTCCCGCGGCGCTGCGCCTGCACCTGCGCTTGGTGCCTCGGCGCGCGCCCGGGCTGCCCGGCGCCGCGCTGCCTCCGCTGGCGCCCCCCTCCCGGCCCGCGCCCGCGCCCGCACAGGCCGCGCCGGCTCCCGCGGCTCCCGCGGCCCGGGCGGCGGCGGCGCGGCTGGCGGCGCGGCGCGCGCACGCGGTGCGGCGCCTGGCGGCGGTGAACGAGCGGCGGTGCTGGCGGCTGCCGCTGTACGGCGCGGACCTGCGCGCGGCGCTGCAGGCGCGCGCCCCGCTCCCGACGCACCCGCCCCCGCCGACGCTGCGAGACATGCTGCATCGCCTGCACGACGTCATCGACAGGTATCGCTTGTTCTTATATCGATCTTTTCGACGACCCGTTTCTCGCCCCGTATTGGTGTGTAACATCTTTCCTCTCGCTTTCCTGCAATTAGTGGGAGTGATTTCGTGAAATTGGACGGAAGTGAGTAACAGGAAGTCGCGAAAGCGCGCGCTGTTTGATTTCATTTTAGAACATAATGTTCAAATGGCTTATTCCTTTTGTAGTAGGTTTTATTTCTTTTTGAAGTTATACTTCTTTAGGCGCGTTATGAAAAAATGATGAGAGTGAAATTTTAAGATGCGCGCGCATCACTGTAACACAAAATATTAACAGCATGAAGTTGGGCCGCTTTAGCGACCAACTTCAAGCTGTTACTTTTGTGTTTACCGCACATTAAGAAAATCTACCAACAAAATAGAAATAGAATCTCTATTTAGTGGGTGCTAACGACTGCATTGTGAAGACCTATCGAAAGTATTTATTATTCTGGAACAACGGAACCAAAGCGCGATTCAGGAGACTACAGCGCCATCTCTTGACCATTGGTATAGTAGAACCAAAAACCACATCCTTATTTTTTGTAATAAAGTAACAGTTATAGGTATTCATATTTATAATATTTCATCCAGAGTTACTCCTAAATCGCGAATAGAATTCGTGCGGATTATGGTTTGATCAGAGATTCTGTAATTAAACTGGATAGCATTATTTTTACGAGTAAAGGTTATTACATAACACATATCTAAGTTCAAGAGCAAGTAATTGTTTTTACAAAAACTTTCAAAATTGTTCAAATCTTTCTGTAAACTTTCACAATCATCACAATTTCGCACTATTGTATACATTTGTAACACTAGATCATACAATAATGTCATATTGACATTGAAGTTTTGTCATTTTTCTGGGTTAAAAAAACGAGTTAAGGATAAATCGAGATCGAGAAAATATTTTGCAAGTGGGCCTTATAGTGCGATCTTTGTGAATGAGGCTAAAAATTTAACTAACCGCCGTCTTTGTAAACGACAGATTTTATGTAATTTGCGTAGACGGGGCGCCCTCCCTGAACTGTCATCCACATTCATAAAGGTTCTCGTCGCGCTGTAGTTCTGTGTGTTGTCGTGTTAGTGAGGTCACTGTGGAGCGATAATGTGCTCGGTGCTCAGTGTGGAGTATTGTCCGGCAGGTTCAGCATGTGCTGGTCGGCGGCGCGCGCGGCGGCCCCGCAGCTGTGGGCGGGGGCCGGGGGCGGGCACCGGGACTGGCGCGCGGCCGCCGCCGCTGCCGAGGGCGGGCCCGCGGCCGGCGCGGCCAGGCTGCTGCTGACCGCGCTGCACGCGCCCGCGTCCCGCCAGGCCGTCGCCTTCCCGCACCCGCGCCTGCTGCAGTACGACGCCGGTGCGTGCTTGTATATCTCGCGAGTATGTCTAGTCGGCCGCCCCTGCCGAGGGCGGGCCCGCGGCCGGCGCGGCCAGGCTGCTGCTGACCGCGCTGCACGCGCCCGCGTCCCGCCAGGCCGTCGCCTTCCCGCACCCGCGCCTGCTGCAGTACGACGCCGGTGCGTGCTTGTATATCTCGCGAGTATGTCTAGTCGGCCGCCCCTGCCGAGGGCGGGCCCGCGGCCGGCGCGGCCAGGCTGCTGCTGACCGCGCTGCACGCGCCCGCGTCCCGCCAGGCCGTCGCCTTCCCGCACCCGCGCCTGCTGCAGTACGACGCCGGTGCGTGCTTGTATATCTCGCGAGTATGTCTAGTCGGCCGCCCCTGCCGAGGGCGGGCCCGCGGCCGGCGCGGCCAGGCTGCTGCTGACCGCGCTGCACGCGCCCGCGTCCCGCCAGGCCGTCGCCTTCCCGCACCCGCGCCTGCTGCAGTACGACGCCGGTGCGTGCTTGTATATCTCGCGAGTATGTCTAGTCGGCCGCCCCTGCCGAGGGCGGGCCCGCGGCCGGCGCGGCCAGGCTGCTGCTGACCGCGCTGCACGCGCCCGCGTCCCGCCAGGCCGTCGCCTTCCCGCACCCGCGCCTGCTGCAGTACGACGCCGGTGCGTGCTTGTATATCTCGCGAGTATGTCTAGTCGGCCGCCCCTGCCGAGGGCGGGCCCGCGGCCGGCGCGGCCAGGCTGCTGCTGACCGCGCTGCACGCGCCCGCGTCCCGCCAGGCCGTCGCCTTCCCGCACCCGCGCCTGCTGCAGTACGACGCCGGTGCGTGCTTGTATATCTCGCGAGTATGTCTAGTCGGCCGCCCCTGCCGAGGGCGGGCCCGCGGCCGGCGCGGCCAGGCTGCTGCTGACCGCGCTGCACGCGCCCGCGTCCCGCCAGGCCGTCGCCTTCCCGCACCCGCGCCTGCTGCAGTACGACGCCGGTGCGTGCTTGTATATCTCGCGAGTATGTCTAGTCGGCCGCCCCTGCCGAGGGCGGGCCCGCGGCCGGCGCGGCCAGGCTGCTGCTGACCGCGCTGCACGCGCCTATGTCTACTGATCTCACTTCAGAAACTGCGTGTGTTAATGAAGGTGTTATATGTAACAGGCAAACTGCAGACGCTGGACGTGCTGCTGCGCAAGCTGAAGGCGGGCGGGCACCGCGTGCTGATCTTCACGCAGATGACGCGCGTGCTGGACGTGCTGGAGGCGTTCCTGTCCATGCACGGACACACCTACCTGCGGCTCGACGGAGCCACGCGCGTCGACCAGCGCCAGCCCCTCGTCGATAGGTAACTTGTCATTGCAGCCACCCAGAGCCCCGCGCGTCGATTGAAAACATTCCTGCTAACCAAGTTTTCACGCGTTGGGAGTACGAGCCGTTCGATCGACTGGATCGGCTTTTATGTTAGCTAATTTTGCTTGCAGCTACAAATCGACAGTGACACGCTCCGCCATAGTTCGTTTGGTTTCTGCAAATCGACATGCATTGGCAACTATGATTAGAGCTCGTAATGAACTGTTTTTACAGCGAACGACGTGGGCACTTTTGAGTATGGCACACTTAGGGATTAGTTTTATCATGTAAACTCAAAATATTAGCAATATTTGTTTTTGACGTTCACATGTACGTCGTTTGCATGTCAAGTTGTGGCTAAAGCGATCAGGGTCGTGGACCACAATCGGTGCGGATCACTTTTGTGAGGCTAGTGCCGCGTCTACCCTTTTTGTTTTAGTGTAAGATTGCGCAGAAGTAAAAATTAAGATGACTTGGGGGGAAACGAGGTGCGCGGGTGTGCGTGCGTTGCACCGATTGGCTCTCCAGTCGTGCCCATGCGCAGCTATTCCCTCCGCGTTTGGTTCAGCGCTAGTTACGTGCCGTGACCTTTTTGAAGTGAAACTTCATTATCGGCGTTGGAAAAAAATTTACCGTCACATTTTTCCGTTACGCGCCATCTTTTTTTATATTAATAGTTGATAGCTGAATGATCACACTGTCGCCGGCGAGAACTCTCTCTACTCGTTTGTAGCTGAGTGACAATAGTTATTAAAGATAAGACTCGCTCAGCCAAACTCGCTCAGCGATACTCGTTCAGCGATACTCGCTCGGTTAAGCTGGCTTGGCTGTCAAAAGCCGTGCGCGTGCATTTTATAACTCAGGACTGCCAATTCGTTTCTAGTTTCTACTCGCTTATCGTTCATCGTCGGAGGTGGAACATGCGTCTTAGATTACTGAGCCGTGTAATCATAACAGTTTCATAGGCAGTAATTTGTATTCATGTCTATGATAATAAAATCCTTTCGTTTAAACTTTATCTAATTTAACTTTATTTAACCAATTTCTGGAAAGTTGCATGTAGATAGATCATTTTTCGAAAAATAAGGCCATAAAGAAGTTTCACTTCTTACGTGTGTACACTAGTACACGCACACATTTTTTTTGTGTCTGGAAAATGCCTTATGCATCCTTGAACCACTGCCCTGTCGCTCGCTGATGCGAATGGTATGTCGGTCAGGTTCAACGGCGACGCGCGCGTGTTCGCGTTCATCCTGTCGACGCGCAGCGGGGGCGTGGGCCTGAACCTGACGGGCGCGGACGCGGTGGTGTTCTACGACTCGGACTGGAACCCCACCATGGACGCGCAGGCGCAGGACCGCGCGCACCGCATCGGGCAGACGCGCGACGTGCACGTCTACCGGCTCGTCACCGCCGCCAGCGTCGAGGAGAACATCCTGCGCAAGGCCGACCAGAAGCGGGCGCTGGGGCACCTCGCCATCGACACCGGACACTTCACCACCGGCTATCTGCGCGCGGTCAGTCCACTCATACACTCACAGAACGTCCTGCGCGAGGCCGACCGGAAGCGGGCGCTGGGCCATCTGGCCATCGACACCGGACACTTCACCACCGGCTATCTGCGCGCGGTCAGTCCACTCATACACTCACAGAACGTCCTGCGCGAGGCCGACCGGAAGCGGGCGCTGGGCCATCTGGCCATCGACACCGGACACTTCACCACCAGCTATCTGCGCGCGGTCAGTCCACTCATACACTCACAGAACGTCCTGCGCGAGGCCGACCGGAAGCGGGCGCTGGGCCATCTGGCCATCGACACCGGACACTTCACCACCAGCTATCTGCGCGCGGTCAGTCCACTCATACACTCACAGAACGTCCTGCGCGAGGCCGACCGGAAGCGGGCGCTGGGCCATCTGGCCATCGACACCGGACACTTCACCACCAGCTATCTGCGCGCGGTCAGTCCACTCATACACTTACTTATTATATAGAGTGATTCGTACTCAAGATTAGTAACACCTGTAAAAAAAATATATTTCAATTGACTTATGTAGTAACGCTCATTGTGACACCACTCTCTGCACTAATTTGAAGGTATATTTGAAAAACTATCGTGTAACAGCACGTGGGTAGAAAGAGCCTTGCTCTGCCAATCGCTCGCTCCTGCCTTCATTAGTTTAGAGTACTGTTACTATGAAAATATTCCCAAAACCCCTAAGGGCTTAGGGTGGGAGGGCGTTACTAATCTTTTCGTACGAATCACTCTTATAATAGGCTAGTTGACTCTTTTTGGAAAAAGGTTTTAAATGGTTAATAAATGTTCTATTATACCGAAAAAACATGTATTGTATTTTTTTGAGACCTAGAAAGCTACAAATCTTTAATTTTAAAATAGAATTTTCATGGATATACAAAAACGCTGTCGGCCATTTTAGTTCATAGATTGTCTATGCTATGATGTCAACTGTAGTAAACAAAAACTCATAAGCACGTAGAAAATAACTTATCTGAGTTTATAATAAAAAGAACATGATTTCTAATAAATACCCCGATTATCATTATTGTATTGTACGAGAATATAAAAACACATCCTTGAAGACTCCAGGAATGTTGTAGATTAAAGTGCCGAAAGAAATTAACCTACGCAACTTTATTACACTTATTCATATGTTGTATCAGTTTTATGTTTATTACTACATTGTAATACTAAATGCACTGTACTTACATAGATGTCTTGTCGTTTCTCTGCTCCGCAGAGCAGAAATCGGGGTTTAGTGCAAAAAAATCACCATATTCAATCAATGCGTCAATTCTTGGCAGATTTGTGCTTTCTGCTTTCACAAAGCCGGCATCCATAATTAGTTTTGTCAAAAAAAACAGCTTAAACGGAACTTTTCTAAAGTTAAAAGTGTTTTAAGATAAATTAATTCAGACTGAATCCATCCACCCACAATAACACGCGAATGACATTTAGTTGTTTACTGAAAGAGACGTCACAATCATGGCGGATGTGGCGAACAGCGTTTTTAGTGTTTAAAAAATATAGACTAAAACATATTTTTTTAAATTAAATTTCTACAGCAATCTTCTGCTTTTATGAAGTGAAATCGATATATTTAGGTTCCTTAGACCAAATACTGTTAGAAATAATCATTTATTTAATACAATTCGACATTAGTCAACTAGCCTATTGTGATAGAACTTCACATACAGGTAAGTTCGTTTAATCATCAATTATACAGTGTTACAAAATTACAAATAAATTTGAAGGGCGTTGAAGTGAATCATATAAGGAGTCTTCTTTTTAATGATCCTCGAACTAGTGTCGTGTTTTAAAAAGATCTATATTTTTATTGATCATTAAAAATAACTGTTTTTATAAAAAATTAAAACTTCATGCTAATATTTTAAAAAAATTGGAGAAGACTTCTTATATGATATACTTCAATGCCCTTGAAGCTTTATTTGTATTTTTGTATCATCCTGTATAGCGCTATCTCTTATTCATCATCATCAGCCTATTAATGTCCCCATTGCTGGGACACAGGCCTTCCCTATGGATGGAATAGGGAGATTGAGCCATGACCCACCACGCGGGCCCAGTGCGAATTGGTGGATGCTAACGACTGCAGATGCCGCCGGGACCAATGGCTCAACGTGCCTTTCGAAGCACGGAGGAGCTCGTGATAGTAAATTTTTGGTCACCCATCCAATAACCGACCACTGCGAAAGTTGCTTAATTTCAACGATCGCAGCCGAACGCGCTAACCACTTGCGCCACCGAGCTCCTCCTTTCTCTTATTACTTAAAGATTATTTCTTTGATATCGTATTGATACGAGTGAAATTCGACGCGGCCGTTAAAGTCGCGGTAGTATAATCGGCCAGCGCATCCAGATAGCGGAGGGTGTGGAGTCGAGTCCCATCCGCTGCCTGGACCGCGTGCATTTTGTTTAGTAATCTTCTTTCGATGTAATCGTATAATTCGTTTGCTATCTAACAAATATTCAAATAGATTAAATGTTGTCGTATGTATATCAGTGCTTGATCGTCTGACGTTTTTATTATTTGTGTGTGCAGTCGAATATAAAGGAGTTGTTCGGCACGGAGACGTCCACGACGACGGACGCGGCGGACGCTGCCCCAGCGGACAGCGGCCCCGCCAGCGGCGAGCTGGAAACCGCGCTACTGGCGGCCGAGGACGAAGCCGACGCGGCCGCGGCCCGCGCCGCCCGACACGAGGCCAGCCTCGACCTGGCGGAGTTCGACGAGACTGCGCCGCCCCCGCTGCCGGCCGACTCCACGCCCGCGCCCCGGGGACAGGACAGGGACGAGCTGGCCGCGCTCATGACGCAGGTGCGTATATAGACACGAGGCCAGCCTCGACCTGGCGGAGTTCGACGAGACTGCGCCGCCCCCGCTGCCGGCCGACTCCACGCCCGCGCCCCGGGGACAGGACAGGGACGAGCTGGCCGCGCTCATGACGCAGGTGCGTATATAGACACGAGGCCAGCCTCGACCTGGCGGAGTTCGACGAGACTGCGCCGCCCCCGCTGCCGGCCGACTCCACGCCCGCGCCCCGGGGACAGGACAGGGACGAGCTGGCCGCGCTCATGACGCAGGTGCGTATATAGACACGAGGCCAGCCTCCACCTGGCGGAGTTCGACGAGACTGCGCCGCCCCCGCTGCCGGCCGACTCCACGCCCGCGCCCCGGGGACAGGACAGGGACGAGCTGGCCGCGCTCATGACGCAGGTGCGTATATAGACACGAGGCCAGCCTCCACCTGGCGGAGTTCGACGAGACTGCGCCGCCCCCGCTGCCGGCCGACTCCACGCCCGCGCCCCGGGGACAGGACAGGGACGAGCTGGCCGCGCTCATGACGCAGGTGCGTATATAGACACGAGGCCAGCCTCCACCTGGCGGAGTTCTATAGAGATCTATAGTAAAAGATGACAATCGGCGTAAAATCACTGTCGAAAATGCATCGCTACCCCACGCATACTAATAGACTAAAAGCATTTGATTCAAAAGTAGTGGTAATAGTAGTAAATTATGGTGTTATTTCTCTTCTAATAAGTTCATTATTAAATAAGTTAGTTCATATGTTATGGAATTGTTGGTCAGGTTGTTACCATGAAATTGTTCATATGTTATTATGTATAAAATTATTGTATGAGGGAAAAGAGTGTTACGTAGTATTTTCTGTAGATTTATAATATTACATCGTTCGTCTGTCTCAAGTTTCTCACATGTTTTGTCTTCTTTACGACACGTTAATATTTTTTACAGAATTTCCGTGGTGATTGATGCATTTACAGTATATTGATTCTGTGAAAAAATCGTAGTAGGAATAACGGGGTTTAGAAAACGGATAGTCGATATTGGATCGCGATCGTGACGAATGCGTCGTTCCACAGTTGACGCCGGTGGAGAAGTACGCGATGCGCGTAGTGGAGAGCGGCGAGGCCGCCACCGCCGCCGAGCGGGCCGCGCTCGACGCCATGCGCCGCCAGCTGCAAGAGTGGGAGGCGGCGCGCCGGGAGCTGAGGGAGGCGTCGCCGCCCCCCGACACTCCGGACACTCCTACGCCCATGGACCACGATCTCACGTACAGTCGAGAAGACGCGCGAGCACAGGTGCGAGCCCGACCGGCCAGGCCCGCCCGTTTGCGACGACCGCAGCCCGCGCCCGCGCCCGCGCCCCACCCCGACCCCACCCCGCCCCCGTCGCCGCCACAACGACCCGCCACCGCGACCGCGACGGCGCGCAGCACGCGGTCGCGCGGCACCGTACACATAAACCTATGGCGGCTGGAGGGCCGGGCCGCACCTAGCGCGGGGGCGGGCGCGGGCTCGGGAGCGGGCGCGGGACGGCGGCGCCTGCGCAACGGCACGCTCGACTCCTGGCTCGCGCCCCGCGACGATACCAATAAATGATGACACCCGCGCCGTGGCGTTTGTTTATATTCCTGACGTTCGTCGGCCGCCGGCCCCCACCCGGCGCCCGGCGCCCGGCGCCCGCCTCGTCCGTGAATGCTTGAGCCGCGACGGCCGGACGAACGTCAGGGATGTAGCGCGACAAGCATTTACGCACGAGCCGGGCGTCGAGTCGGCCGAGTCCCTCTCCCCCTCACCCCTCGCCGCCGGCTGAGCCGATCGAGATCTTACCCCATAAACGAAACTTTTACTAGAAAAAATTTCAGTGGATCCTGATTTCGGACGCCTTCTGCAAACCGAGCAGCAATATTTCTTATTTTATAAATTTTGATAGAACTCGATTCGCTTTACCGGTTATGAAAACTTCGATTAGATTCGCATCAGTACCGCGAACTGATATCGAATTCGAATAGTTGGCCAGTGCAAAATGTCATTGTAAAATTTTGTTTGGAAACTTGAACAGCAGCGCTGCAACGAACGTAACGACAGCTAAAAATCAATACATATTTGACGTTGAAAATGGATCGAAGCAACTATTCAAATTCGATAATGGTTCGTGCTAAGGGTACAGACTTTTAATATTATTGAATTTATCAAAATTTCACAAAATTATTTTCTCAGAATACCATGAAATGAAAGATCTACATAATTTAAATTGATGAGCAAATACTTTACAGCGATAGATTTGTAATCTGACAACTCTTCGATGCAATTTAATCTTTTGCGAGAAAAGACAACCCATGTCTAAGATACTCGACACTAGGCTCTCTCTACGACAAAATTGCCTAAATGTCAATATTGCTCACGACGTGACGTGAATTAGTGATAATACGTTTCAACGACGCCGTAGCACTGGAAAGCTTGGTTTTCCTAGGATAGAGTGTGCCATCATATAGCGGTAAATAACTAGAACGTCGTCCATGTAAACAAAATAGCGCGAAATCCTAGAGAACGATAATTGACACCGTAACGTGCCGCCATTTTATACCGGTCGCCTTGTCGACGTCGGATGGTTCGTGAACGTTTCATTGATAGCTATTTCATATTATACGTATTTGTGTTTGTTTTTACCGAAACGACATACAAAGTGAGTTCCAACTCCAATAGAAAGACGAATTTTTTATAGATTTTGTTCATAATCAAGAAAATATGACCTTCGTTGTGTTAATATGACCTTGAATCTATCCACATGTCATGGTTAGAACGGCTGTCTTTTTGCTTATGTCAATAATACGGACACTATATGACGGCACCGCTGTCTTAAGAAACCAGAGCGCTCTCTAAAACCAGGAGAAAAGGATCATACCAGAAAATCGTAGGTATTACAGTTGGATATATGGATGTTGAAGAAACCTCGCCTGTCGTACCACCAGTAGCTGTTCTTGGGCTGGGGACCTACCGCCTATCGAAATTGCTATAGCTTTTGATTCAATTTTTTTATTTCTGACCGCCGATGGTTTTCAAGTATAATATTGTTATTAACAATGCAAAAAAGTGCCTTTGTCATTTGAAAACGTTTGCAGAATTACTGACAATTAAAAAAAAACATAAGCTATATAGCCATAGCAATCCCGATAGGCGTTGGGCCCCGTGGCCATATACGGCCTGCGCGAGCAGTAGAGTCAACCAGAGTTTGTTTACCGGTTAATTTTCAAACCTAAATCAGTATCAAGTACATTAGGAGCGTTTTATTTAGGTTTGGTTCTACCTTAACCTTAAAAAACCGGTTTTCCTAAAAAGCGAAATCAAATAGGTTTTGAATCAATTTAGCGGTTTTTAAAGGGTTTCATTTTGCTCTTACTGACGGCATCGCCTTTGCCCTTTCAATTCAAATTTATAATGATTTTATGTCAGTTTTTTTCCAACTACAGAGCGAGTGAGTGAAGTAGTGTGTCAGTCAGTACACAACTACAAAATGAATAACTTGACTCACTAGACGCTAGAAAACATGTCAATAAATGCATCAATCTCTGAGCATTAATAAGTTGTGACTTGATTAGTTTAATAAAAACAAATTTCAAGCGATACGGACGCGTGCACGTGTCGCTCTGGATTAAACCGGTTTATTAAGGTTTTTGGTACCGCTTTCATTTCGGACGCGCTCCGAACGAAACCTTTACTAAAAACCGGTATTAACCTTTATTTACCGGTATTTTCGAAACCGGTTACAAGCCCTGGAGTCAACAGCTTGAAGCTGCCTTTTATCAGTGCACTACAGTCTTGTACATACACCGTACACGCATACATTTAACCGCTCGAGAAGGAGCGACTGATTTGAATGTTTGCAGGGTGGTATAGCAGCTTTAAGCTATTGAATATGACATTAGGCTACGCCTACGAGGACTCTTGTCCGACGAAGTAGATCACTTACAACTGCATCGAGTAACGCACGCAAAGTACCGCGTACAAAAAGTCCCCCGATCAACCGTGGGCTCCGAAAAACCGGACAGGACGTGACAAAGTACGCGAGTTTATATTTATATACAGGACGTCCCAAGGGTATGTCACATGAGGGGAATGTATATTAAATATTGAAGATAGGGCATTTTACTGAAAGAAGACATCATTTTATTTTTAATAAGTAGAACTGCATTCACAGTTTTTAAAAAATCGCCTGCCAAAACTGGGTTCAAACTCGTGAAATGTGAAACAAAAACCTACATGTATTTTATGATAACCGTCGAAAGGGTTAATGAGGATTATTTTTTCCTTAATAACACAACATTTTAAATGAAAGAAAAATCATGAATAGTAACTTTTATTTAAATAAAATTGAACACAAACTACAATAAAAAGAAACGGTGTAAGGTTTATACAAGTATCGCTTTATTATTATATTAAGAACGAACCTGCCCTGGCCTGCCCTCGCTTCGCTGTAGTGTACAGTATAGTTTTTTTCTCAGGCTTGTATTATACACAATGACATTCTTCTAATACCTAATTACAATAGGCACGCGCCGCCAGGCCCCCCGCCCGTTACCACCGGAACCGCTATATCCCTGCATTTAAAATCTGTAATATCTTCGAAATTTTTAATTTTAATTACACGCTGTAAAGGGCCAAATTGATCTATATTTAATGCACAATATATTTACGGTACTTAATTATATAAGGATGAATGCTGTATTGCTGAAAATCGCTTCGTAAATAAGCTATTATTTAAAAATAATAAAAAATAAAAAAAGAGGGTAATTGTGGGTTACCCTAAGAGATAGACATATACCATCGCGGACCTTTTTTGTAGAACTTTGAAGGTGTACAATACTGTAGTACATTATTTTGAACTATCTCATAGGGCCAGCGTTTGCAATGTAAGCGCAAAAAAATGTGTTTATTTATGACTTTACATTAAAAACCTCTTAAATTATGAGTATTTCTCTACTATATTATACATATAAATTTTCCTCTTGAATCACTATCTATTAAAAACCTCCTCTTCTTAGTCGCTATCTTCATTGCTGAAGGTCGCGTCTAGCTTGTAATGTTGACCACCTGATGCACTATGCTTCTCTACGTATTCCTGTCCTCGGCAGTCTTTATAGCCTTGGTTATTGATAGGCCAGTGAGCGACTTACTCAGTGGCCTATCAATAACCAAGGTCTGACCAGCGGGTAGGTGACCGACCGCGTGATCTTCTCCCGTCGACCTGGCCAACTACCATCTGCTTCTCTAGGCTGTCAGTGTTCTGCGAGCGATGTGTCCGAAATACTTTAGTATGCGCTGGTAGCAGATAAAGGACAACCTTGTGGTGATGCAGAGTTCCTCAAGTATGGACACGTTGGTCCGGCGTGCAGTCCCCTTCAACACCACATCTCAAAAGCTCTTGCCCTTTCGCTCTGTCTGATCGTCCAGGATTCAGCGCCATAAAAGAAAATCGGGAAGACCAACGTGCGCACCAGCTTCACTTTGGTTTTGCGGGATATGTTACTGTCTTTCCGTATCCTAGTGAGTTTAGTCATCGCTGCTTTGGACATTTGGATTCTTCTAGATATCTCTCCCTCGCTGCCACCCCCGTTGCTGAGAAGAGAGCCCAGGTATAAGAAATGGTCAACAAATTCCAGGTCTCGGAGTTCATTGGAGCGAATTAGTGTACCAGGTCTGTCTACCACCAACACCTTGGTCTTCGCCTTGTTCATGGTGAGGCCAACTAATTCACTCTCCCTTTCCACTCGTGAAATAAGTTCAGCCATTTCTTGCTTAGACGCTGCGAACACTGTGGTGTCATCTGTATACCGCAGGTTGCTAAGTTTTCTGCCACCAATAGAAACACCACCTTTCCAACCATCCAAAGCTCGTTTCATAATATATTCCCCATAGACATTAAAGAGGATCAGAGATAGTATACACCCCTGTCTAACACCTTTCTGCGGCTTAAAGGGTTTTGACAAAACATTGTTCACCTTAACTACTGTGCCTCCATCCCGATAAAGGTTTGCGATGAGAATAACGTGGTGCTTTGGTACTCGCATTTCTGTTAGAATGTTCCATAGACATTCCCACCTGACACAGTCAAACGCTTTTGAGTAGTCAACGAAGCACACCAGCATCGGAATATTGAACTCACGGCATTTCTCTATTATTTGCCTAACATTCACGATCTGTTCTCTTGTACCCCATCTTTTAACAAATCCCGCTTGCTTTACTGGAATCTGCCACTGCAAGAATACTTTAAGGCGTTCGTTTATTACGTACAGTAGGTCCTGTAGTTGGTACAGGACTTGGTTGAACCTTTCTTGTACAGAGGTATTAAAATGGATTCTCGCTAGCCACAGATTCATTCGCCGTTTCTCCATATTTGATTACATAGGTTTTGTAGAATGCATATACCGTCATCTCCAATGAGCTTCAGATTTTCGGCAATAATATAGTCACTACCGGCCTATTTATTATTTTTAAGCTTCTTTAGCGCAAATTGGATTTCGGATCTCCTTTCGGATCCTTAGGAACATCGGTCATGCAGTGTCGTGTCATCAAAATCCGTTGTGTAGTTTTTGACGTGACAACGTCTTAAATTAGGTTGCGGCTGGGAGTCACTTATGAAAAAGTGTAACGCTCGGTAACGTTACGATGAGTCTCTCGTGTTAAGTTTAAGTTTACATGTACAATGGTACCAATTCTGGCGTGATTCTCTAAACTTAAAACTAAATTTAACATCAGTCTCTCCTTTTCATTCTGTATAGAGAATGACAAGGATATACTGCTGTCAAATTTAAGTTTAGGTTTAGAGAATCATGCTAGAATCGACACCAATGTTTTAGTAAACAAAATATATTTCTATAGTTAAAATTTGTGCAATTCTTATTTTCATTCAATTCCTTGTTCCTATTGTGCAATTTAATTATATTCATATCAATAAATATTCTACCGAGAAAAAGACGTTGTCACGTAAAATCTTCGCCCGTAAAACCGACTTTACAGGCAACCATTTTTTTTTTACGCATACATAGGGATAGACAGCGGGAAGCGATATACTATGTAGTGAAGCAGGTACTAGTTAGTAAATACTTGAAATTATAACATTAGCTATTGGAAGCACAGAAAAGTAAGAGGAAATTTTCCTGTTTCATGATCTTCCTTTCATTAGGTTTGATTCCCAGTTGTAATAGGCGGCTTTCAAAAAATCTGTGAATGCAGTTTCAAGTTATTATTAAAAATAAAATGATCTCCTCTTTCAGTAAAATATCATATCTTTAATATTTAATATACTTTCCCTCCGTGTGACAAACCCGTGGGACGCCCTGTAAATAGGTCCGACAAATGACTACCACCCCACCTGATGTTAAGTGACTTAAGTGTTATGTAAGCAGGCGCAGTCACGCACACAGTGAGCTATAGTCGCCTGGCCACATCTGTGACGCGACACGGTGCGTTGATATAACATGCAAACCTGGTCGTAAATTTAAATTTAGTGCCCGACTTAGTCCTAGGGGAATGGACCCAGTACTCTCTTTTTCTTAAACTTTATATTAACATCACTTCTTCATCTGAGAATAATTCCTTCTACAATTTTTTTGCACATTGTCCTAAGCGGACATTTTCTTCACGATTCAGGTACTTGTCCTTCGCGGACGAAAGTCCTTTCTTCTGCGCAGGCCATTACTCTGATTGCGAGAGCCGTGTCGTCTTTGTATGTTGATCACTGGCTAATGGTCAATCATACTAGCATAGAGGCGAAGCGCATTCAGAAACTTGATAGCAAATTTACCCTTATCTCCGCAATGTAAACCACCATTCCTTTTGAGCTGATAATTGAATTCGAGCGTCTTCTTTTTATCTAAAATAGAATATCTCATTACGTTGCGTAGGTAAGGGTGTATTTGCTGTTACGTTTCTGATGGACGTCAGAGTAATGGCCTGCGCGGATGAAGGACAAAAGTCTGTCGGCCGTCAAGAAACTACCCGCCGCGTACTAGTCGATGTGCGAACACACATCGAGTGCGTCGAGTCTGAACAAATGTTCGTTTGTCCCCCGAAAATTTAGAAAAGCTCAGATTATGTTGATTACGCTGTGTTGTTCTAACACGAAGTTTAAGAAAAATGAGACACGTTTTAAAAGACAATACTGTGTCCGTTTCTTTGAATCTCTAAATCGTGTGTAGCTGCACACAAGTTGTATTTTATTCGGGGAGTATGAATTGCCCATAACTGCTCCAGCAGCCCGTGTATGTCCGTCCAGTCCATGGAGACATTACAATGAGGAGCTGCTGTATTCAATGTTGCAGCGTCTTCCAATGATGCACTGACGTCACACAATAGTTGGAGGCGCTTTGTGTAACAGAAGAGAAAATTACATATCCATCGATGCTTTTCTGAACAAGTATCCTAGTGGCATTGAAATTAAGCAGTAGTGGATCACTAAATAGTTCGATGATTATCACTTCCCTCTGTCAAAATCAGTTAGCTGATTGGCCTACAGAGCGAGGTGCAACATACGCGATGTCAGATTACCGCAGTTTCGCTACGATATCGCGGTTCGCCGCGCGGATTTGCTAAAGGCGTTAAGGAGCGAAATTTAATCAATTACAAATAAATAAATAACTTAGTAAATAACGATAATGATAAACATTTTTTCTTCGTCTATCAGGTAGATTATCAAAAATATTATTAATTAGTAGAGATTTGAAATGTTGCATGATGTTACGTTTTCGTACAAATTTAACTGGAAAGTGACGTACAAGCCCTGCACTTTGACGCGCTTTTTATTTTGTATTTTTTTTTTGGTTGATTAATCAGAATAGAAAATAGGTGTCCATTTTTTGATAATCTAACTGAAGGAGTAAACAGAATTTCGTTAAGTACACAGTCGTCATCCTGATTATAAAGTTGTACTAGATCATTCTAATATAGTCTTTAAGAAGGAAGCGATTATGGTAAGGATGTAGGTGGAAAGTTGAAGGATGTAGAAGCCGAGGAAGGCCAAGATCTTATCAGAATTTAATTGGTCGCATTCAGAAGCCGCAAAAACGGGCGAGCGTGCAAGGGAAAACATTTGTGTATTAGGACTTACAGTCGCGGGCCATTTTCACTTCCCGGGATAAGAAAAAACACGGAAATCTATCTTTAAAAGTTCGTTTTTCCTATTTTAATAGGAAACAGACAATAAAAATTAAGTTTTTAAGTCAAAGAAAGCTGGTAGCTTACCAGCGTTTATAGGAACCGGATCGCTCAGGTAACAGGCGTAGGCATTTCTATGGACTAGCGACAATAAGCTCAGGCAATCTTCGACACGCGCTGGTTAGCGCTGGCACCGTCCTTTGAATTTAATGGACAACTACGATTCAAACTGTTTCCTTTATCTAACTGTTACCAGTAAGGACGGCTTCCAGCTTTCTTTCTGTATACAGCATAATGATCAATAAAGAAATAAAAGCAGGCCAGTTGTTCTTTTAAATATATAAAAAAAATGTGTATATTAACAGTGTTTTAGTACCATGAGAAGGGATGAGATCAGAATTAAGGTAAAATCAAAGGTGCATATTACTCATTCGATATCAACGGGAGGTCGATCCGAGCGTTAAATAGCCGTTTTATTGTACACAGGTATGGGTGAGCGAAACCGGACCAGACGAAAGGATGCCGGTGAGTTTTTATTTTATCCAAGAGGTCGACGAGTCGAGCGCGACGAAGTCTTCCTTTTCCTGAACTATCAATGCGTTCCGCAGATGTGGTGTCCGCCGACGCCGCCGTCCGGCGACGGCGACGTGTACTGCGAGAGCTGGACGCGCGCCCTGTACCGGCGCGGCGCCGCCCCCGAGCACGCGCTGCCCGCCCCCGCCCGCCGGGAGCGCGCGCCCCGCCCGCCCCGCGCCCGGCCCGCGCCCCGCGCGCCCCTCGCGCCGCCCTCGCTGTTCGAGCGCGCCGGGCCCCGCCCTCGGCCGCGGCCCCGGCCCGCGCACGCGGCGCCCGCGCCCCCCGCGCCCGACTGGGCGCCCGCCGAGGACGCGGCGCTGCGGCGCGCGCTCCGCCTGCAGCGCCTGCCGCCCGACCCGCCCGCCGCCCTCGCGCCCAACTGGGAGTGGGTCGGCGAGCTGGTGCACGAGGCGGCGCGCGCGCACCGCTCGTCGCGCGCCTGCCGCGACCGCCACGACGCGCTCGCCGACCCGGACCGCGCGCGACGCAAGCACCGCCGCGCCGCCGCCGCCGCCGCCGCCGCCGCCGCCAACGCCGCGCGACGCCGCGCGCCCGACGACGCGCCGCGCCCGCCGCTCGCGCGCCTCGACGCCATGCGCGACGCGGCCGAGCGCCGCCGCGCCGCGCCCAAGCGACCCAAGCACCCGCCCGCCACCAACCCCAAGCACGCGGCGCTGCTCGCCGACCACGGCGTCGACTACGACGCGCCGCCCTCGCCCATGGAGGTGGCCACGCGCCGCGCCGACCGCATCGCCAAGGAGAAGATGAAGGCGGGCGCCGCCCAGCCGCCCGCGGCCGCCGCGTCTCCCGCGCCGGCGAGCGCTGCGGGCGCGGGCGCGGGCGCGGGCGCGGGCGCGGGCGCGACGCAGCGCGTGGTGGTGGCGGCGCACGCGCACCACGCGCCCGGCAAGCAGGAGGCGGCGCGCCGGCCGCGCGCGCCCGTTCCCTCGTCCGCACCCGCCTCCGTTCCCGCGCCCGGCGCCGGTGCCGGTGCCGGTGCCGGCGAGGCGGTGCGCGCGGCGACCCCGACGGTGGCGGCGGTGTCGGCGGCGCCCACGCAGCTGCTGTACCGGCACCAGACGCTGGCGGCGCGCCATCATCTCAAAATTCTACACCACGCCGCCGCTACCCATGCCCAGGTGAGCATTATATGGATAGCGCGCTTTATGCCGAGTCGTAACGGGTCGGGACGGAGCTCGTGTGTGTTTTATATGAACTATCGCACACTCTGCCGGGATGCAGCCCGCCGTATAATCCGCCACGAATTGTGGATGCGTGCGATGCGCCCCGACACAGTGTGCTATAGCCCCGCACTGTGTACGGGGTTACTAGATTACCGATTATCAGCCTACGCATGAGTCGCCCAGAGTGCACCGAACCAGCACATTTCCGTTCCCTAGGCCTAAGCCACTGGACAGAAGATGCACCAGCCACACGGAGAGGTTCCTGGCGTAGTACCCCGTTTAGAACAACCTACGCTCCGCGCGTATACATTTGATGTCAAAATTGAAACATCAAGTTAAAAAGTTGTAAGCGTAAGTTTTGAACGTATCCCAGTACACTATACCCAGAATTCGTCAATGCACTGAGACCTGGCCCTTCACTAATATACTATTTAAGCATTTTCACCCGCTGCGTCCCGGCATAATATACGCGATCCTTTAAGGTATAACATATGTTGCATGGCACGGGCGTAGCCAGGTACCGGCAGGGGGGGGGCATCTGCCCCCCCCCCCCCCCCCCCCAGATCGAGGAGCTTCAGAACCAAAAATTAAATAATAAATAATCCAAAAATTAACTATAAAATTTAAAAAAATTATAGAATCGCACATCACTCTCATTAGTTTATTTATTATTACTTTTTGTAGTTATCTGTCGTTATCACAATATATTTGAGTAGGAAAGTCTGTATTTTTTGTATCGGAAATTAAAATCAAATAAATAATATTAAAGTTAAACTATTATTACTCTCAAACTAACAGATCTATTTTAACCGTAATATAATTTATAATTTTCCGTAAAAGTTAATGAAAACCATTTATATACCTATTTTTCCTAAATCGATAAATAATCTTAGGAATACCTAAGCAATTTTAAAGGACCTACGATATGTTTTTGTATGTGCACTCCGCGTTCCCGCTTCGCGGAGGGCACGCTTTAATCTTGATAATACCTAAAAATAATTAGAAAAGACTTCGATGGGAACCATGGTTAATGTTGAAATTTCCGTCTGTCAGATACAAGTTAGGGGCCGTTCAAGTATTACGTAAGCAGATTTATTACAATTATTTACCCCCTCCTCCCCCTCGTCAGCAAAAGTAAGCAATGCTCTCACCTTACGTTCCCCCATCCTTACGTAAACATTGGTACCTATATGCATTTTTCCTTTAATGTATTCTGTTTTTTTTATTGATTCATGAGCTTCATGTACTTAAAAAGGCTTAATCGATGATGCTGACGTAATCACCATCTCGGCCCCCCACCCCCCATGTCATCAAAAATAAGCAAAGCAAAGACCCCCCTGACCCCCTATAGTGCTCACGTAATACTTGAACAGCCCCTTAGGGGGGTATAGGGCAGACTTTTTTTTTTGAAGTGAAACTTCTTTATCGGCGTTGGAAAAAAAATTACCGTCACATTTTTCGGTTACGCGTCACATTTTCCGTTACGCGCCATCTTTTTTTATATTAATAGTTGATAGCTGAATATCATTGATATTCAGCTATAATATCAGAAAAGAAAATATCAGCTGAATGATCACACTGTCGCCGGCGAGAACTCTCTCTACTCGTTTGTAGCTGAGTGACAATAGTTATTAAAGATAAGACTCGCTCAGCCAAACTCGCATAGCGATACTCGCTCAGCGATACTCGCTCAGCGATACTCGCTCAGCGATACTAGCTCAGCGATACTCGCTCAGCTATACTCGCTCGGTTAAGCTGGCTTGGCTGTCAAAAGCTGTGCGCGTGCATTTTAACTCAGGACTGCCAATTCGTTTCTAGTTTCTACTCGCTTATCGTTCATCGTCGGAGGTGGAACATGTGCCTTAGATTACTGAGCCGTGTAATCATAACAGTTTCATAGGCAGTAATTTGTATTCATGTCTATGATAATAAAATCCTTTTGTTTAAACTTTATCTAATTTAACTTTATTTAACCGATTTCTGGAAAGTTGCATGTAGATCATTTTTCGAAAAATAAGGCCATAAAGAAGTTTCACTTCTTACGTGTGTACACTAGTACACGCACACATTTTTTTTTCCTTGTGTAATGTTAAATATATGGTTCTCCGTATATTTGTAAGGGAACAAATATATATATTTATATATTGAAGTTAACGTTTAAATAATAGGGCAGACGTTAACATTGTATTGTGTATAAATGCGATTTGTTGTGTTTGTTTGGGCAGGTGCGCGCGTCGTCGGCCGCCGGTGGGGCCGGCGAGGGCGCGGGCACGGCGCTGCGCACGCTGCACCTGCAACAGCTGGCGCTGCGTCGCGCCCCCCCGGCGGCGACTCCGCCGGCGCCCCCCCCCGCGCCCCGCGTGCTGCAGGCGGCGCGCAACCAGCCCCGGCCGCACCACGTGCTGCTCACTCACCTCGCTCCCGCCGTGTCCGCACCCGCCACCGCCGCCGCCGCCACCGCCGCCGCCGCGCCCGCGACCTCCACCGCCAACGCCGCGCCCGCCTCAGCACCCGCGCCGAGACCGCCCGACCCCAGACAATAAATCGTTTTATAACTCGCTTGGCAGTTTTTCTTCAATACCGACCCCCTTCGACCCCGGTTCCCATGAACGATTACGGGAGCTCCGTTCGGTGTTTGCATCGCGGAGGTGATGGAATTTCGATCGCATGATGATAGACTAATCTGAGCGATTCGCCATTCCCGATCGACCCGACCGACCGTTCGACCCTCGTCGCCGGTTACGATGATCGACCTCCCATAAAGATAATACGGTTCCGTTCCGTTAACAAGGGTTGTGACGCTTCAGTCCCTAGATATTGTTATAGAAATATAATATAGTAGCCATTGCTAAAAAAACAAAAACCAGATAATTCTTACCTTTTTCTAAAGGTTGACCATTGAAACCGGCGATTCGAGGTGATTTCAAGAATAAAACTATCCTGGGTCCTTTTCCGAGACTCAAACTATCTCTATATCAAATTTCATCTAAATTCAGTTCACTTAAACTTAAAGACGACGAACAGACCCAGTTTCATATTTATAATATTAAGTATTGGTATGAATAATATGGATTAACATTCTAAAACAAAAAAAAAAGTATCGAATTTTCGATACCGAGTACTTTTGGCATCGATACTTTAGAACTGAGTAACGAATAGTATCGTGAAGTAAATACTTATATCAGTATTCAATCGGTCACTAAGAAGTAAAAAAAACTCGTAAGCAGATTATTTACTCTATGGTAAGATGTCTAGTTGGTTTTCAATTCGCGAACGCACCTTTTCTTCTGCTCAGTTGGCAACCTTACATATGATTTATATTTATTCATTCAGTCATTCGTCATCGATCGCGTGGTGTGAGTCGTTATTTTGTTTTCGTTAAATTAAAACTGACTTAATTTGTAATTGTAATATAGTTCGTAAAAAATTATCGATACTTTTCATTCGATACCGAGTAAGCATTGATACTTTATGACCGATACAGTATCGAGTAAAAGTATCGATACCCAGATGGTATCGTTACATCCCTACTCGCCCATTATTGCATAAAAGAAATCAGTACGCGCCTCTGCAAATGCCGCCACGGATATGCTCCGACTCAACTACATAAACAACTCTCAAGCACGCACATTTCTATATTAAATAAATAAATATTAATTATTATTAGCCTAGCCCCAAAGCAAGCATTGTAAGGCTTGTGTTATGGTATACTAGGGTAACGGTTAGAATACATAAACAGTACCTACATATATAAGTATATTTATATAAAAATACATATTAAACATCCATAACTGGAGTACAAATGCTCGTATTCGTCACACAAACATCTGCCCCCACCGGGATTCGAACCCGAGACCTCTCGAGTCGGCGACACCATGAAACCCGGCGTACAAACCACTCGGCCACGGTCGTCAGATGTAGCAAGGCCAAACGGGAACATCTTCCTCCGAACTGGGTGATAATAGATCGGGGCCCGCGGCCCATTATATTATGTGTTCAATCCATCGAGCGAGACAACTGTACGCTTCAACCTTAGATGCTCTAAAAAGCCTCGATGTCACGGGGCAAGTTTACAACCCAGCGAGTTCGCTAGTAGTTTGTTAACTCGCCCCGTATCGAGTAGCAGATGACAAAAAAGCATGCACCAAAATTTAAGCGGATAACTTTTGAGCCGCGAGTGTCGTATCTTCTCTTTTTGTTTTAATCTAAAGCTAAGACATCCCTATTTTTTTGATGAGCTAAGACAACAGCTATACCAATTTGATGCGATTTTTGTTTTCTCACTATGATAAGACGCTGACCTGAATTGTATTGTTTTCGGGCTACTACGATAAAAAAAATTCCAATGAAATAAACACAGTTTAAAACTAAAGGTATAGTAGATATATTATAATAAAGTATTAGACGTATTTTGTATTTGATTTAAAAAAATATAAACGTATTTACATTTTGTATTTCAATACTTTTATAATGTACTAATGGCCCGCCCTCGCTTTGCTTCGGTGTAGAGCTGTAGTGTAAACTACATATAGTTTTTGTTCATAGGATTGTATTATATACTTTATAAACCTAATAATTATAAACCTATCATTCCAAGTAAAAAATTCGTTGCGTAGTTTGGGACCAGTTGTACGAATGCAACTATGCTCTGCTGTTCCGATTTGAAAAAATATTTTTGTATTGGACATTACATTTATCGAGGAAGGCTATAGTAGGCTATATATTAACCGGGCTACGACCAGTAGCAGCAGAGCATCGGTGAAAAATGTTGCAAAACCGGGTAAAAACATTCCATTCGTGAGATTCCGTTGCGTGCCCTGGGTAAACGGTTATAGTTACACAAAAATCATGTTCGACGGAATTCTTCCCTTTTAAAAGTTCTGTAAAAAAGTCCAGGACAGCCTATGTTTATATTTTAAGTTTGACTCCCTGTAATCCTTTTTCTTCAAATTAATGCATGTGAAACCGCAGGGGACATCTAGTTGTGACATAACTGTAATAGTTAGACATATGGTATCGCGGACTTTTTGGTAGATATAAAACTTTAGTATATCACTTTGCTCTATTGTCAATGAATTCCGCATCGTCCGCGATAAAATTTTTTTTGGTATTTTTTACACACTTTGGGTTACATTATAGAAGTTTTCATACGGAACCCTAACTTTTTTTGAAAATAAATAGTGAAAACGTAGCATTCAAATGGGGAAAGAATTTTTAAAATCGGTCCAGTACTTTTTGATCCAATTGGTTACAAACATACTTACATACAAATCTTTCCTCTTTATGATATTAGTATAGATATAGATTTTACACATCTCTGCTCGCTAAAAGTTAAATAATCTCATTCACCAAATGCAGATCTTCAACCATAATCCCAAACATTTCTTCTAGACTCTTCCATTTCTATTTCAAAAATAAAAAAAGTACTCAATCCGTCGATAAGCGCTCCAGGAGAGTGGATATATCTGCTTAGGGAAGGAAGTAAGCTGGTCAGTTTATTTCGCTCCCAACCCCAAGAACAGCATGGAAATGAAAGTAATATAAACTAGCTTTACGCGAATGAATTTATTATCACTGAAAAAAAAGATCATGCATCAGTGTCGGGGCGGAGACGTGTTCCCCCGGCGCGGTCATATCGCACGGTGACGAGTCGCAGGGAGCGCAGGAGCGCGGCGGCCGGCTCCACGGCGTCCGTGGCGGCGGCGGCGAGCGGGCGCAGGGCCGCGCGCACCGCTCGCGACACGTTCGCCGCGAACACCAGCGGCGGCCGCACTACCGCGTTGAACACCAGCGCCAACGCCGGCTTCAGGGCGTAGTCCGACGCCGTCTGCACCACTCCCGTTACCAGGTCGCGCACCACCATTAGCGCGCACCTGATGTCCGTAACCAATTTTTCAAATACTAACGGGCGGATAGAATGGTAACGTAAATGTTGGAGTAAATTCTGTCGTAGTCGTCGTCGTGTTGGAGTAGAACACACAAATTCACTTGACTTCATTAGCATAGGACAGAATATAGATCCTGAGCATTGTGCATTATTAAATGTCTGTAATTTTTAAATCGTTAACTCGGAGCGTAATTTTTTCTGCAAGTAAAATGTCCTAATAACGTCACCCCCCCGCCCCGGTCCATCATCGAACGTTTCGTTATATATCTTCCCTACTCACCCTCATAATGGTAAGGTCCTAATTCCTAGTGGCATAGGAATCCTATTGGTCGAGTGCACATTTGTAAACAAATGTAGGTCGGATAATGACATGATGGCGAGACCTCTCGAGTGTGATGAGGAGCGCGAGTGGCGCGGCTCCCAGCAGACGCGCGGCGGCGCGGCGCGCGGCTCCCTGCGCCCAGCGCTCGCCTGAAGGTACTCGCCCGCGCCCTGCTGTAGGTCGGATGATGACATGATGGCGAGACCTCTCGAGTGTGATGAGGAGCGCGAGTGGCGCGGCTCCCAGCAGACGCGCGGCGGCGCGGCGCGCGGCTCCCTGCGCCCAGCGCTCGCACGCCGACGCGCCGCCCGCCTCGCTCGTCTGAAGGTACTCGCCCGCGCCCTGCTGTAGGTCGGATGATGACATGATGGCGAGACCTCTCGAGTGTGATGAGGAGCGCGAGTGGCGCGGCTCCCAGCAGACGCGCGGCGGCGCGGCGCGCGGCTCCCTGCGCCCAGCGCTCGCACGCCGACGCGCCGCCCGCCTCGCTCGTCTGAAGGTACTCGCCCGCGCCCTGCTGTAGGTCGGATGATGACATGATGGCGAGACCTCTCGAGTGTGATGAGGAGCGCGAGTGGCGCGGCGAGCAGCAGACGCGCGGCGGCGCGGCGCGCGGCTCCCTGCGCCCAGCGCTCGCACGCCGACGCGCCGCCCGCCTCGCTCGTCTGAAGGTACTCGCCCGCGCCCTGCTGTAGGTCGGATGATGACATGATGGCGAGACCTCTCGAGTGTGATGAGGAGCGCGAGTGGCGCGGCGAGCAGCAGACGCGCGGCGGCGCGGCGCGCGGCTCCCTGCGCCCAGCGCTCGCACGCCGACGCGCCGCCCGCCTCGCTCGTCTGAAGGTACTCGCCCGCGCCCTGCTGTAGGTCGGATGATGACATGATGGCGAGACCTCTCGAGTGTGATGAGGAGCGCGAGTGGCGCGGCGAGCAGCAGACGCGCGGCGGCGCGGCGCGCGGCTCCCTGCGCCCAGCGCTCGCACGCCGACGCGCCGCCCGCCTCGCTCGTCTGAAGGTACTCGCCCGCGCCCTGCTGTAGGTCGGATGATGACATGATGGCGAGACCTCTCGAGTGTGATGAGGAGCGCGAGTGGCGCGGCGAGCAGCAGACGCGCGGCGGCGGGCAGCGGCACGAGCGCGGCGGCGGCGCGGCGCGCGGCTCCCTGCGCCCAGCGCTCGCACGCCGACGCACCGCCCGCCTCGCTCGTCTGAAGGTACTCGCCCGCGCCCTGCTCGAAGTAGTACACCTCCACGCGCTCCGGCCCTACTCAAAAACATCACATCACGGGATTGCGCTCTCCTTCGCTTCCCTACACAGCTACAAATGAGGCTCGATTCCAGTCCGGTAGTCGTGATACTCATCAACTCATTCTTAGCAGATTCTGAATTTCGCGTCGAACATTATTTAATTTAAATAGGTACACATGATGCCTAGAAGGACGAGGACCTCGCATAGATCTATCACGAGGGGCCTAGCTAAGATCTACTCCCAGGGCCTCGCCTAAGGCCGCCCCTGCTCAGCTACTTGGTGCTATGTATTATTCGAAGATTATGAAATTGAGCCTCCTACCCGTCATGAAAATAAGTTCAAGAAGCACTCCGTCCGTCTCCTATATCAGTCATGTGGGGGAGACCATAAAATATATAGAACATCAATCACAGGTAGTTTAATATATTAGCAATTACAACATTTATTGTTATTTACGAACATAGAACAGTATTTAAAAACGATGATATAGTTAAAACGAAACGAAATCTGAGTATCGTAGACAATATTTGAACATCTGTGGACAGACTAATCTGCGATCAAAGCTTCAGAAAAGCGCATAAGAGTTGAAAGCGAAAAAGTTATCAGATAAAGTACCTATTTTGTATTGTGAATTATACAGTTATATTGAAGAGAAAAGTGATAACCCTTTTGATTTTTAACAACCGGAGGTTGCCTCATCAACAAAATGTTTTAATCTAAGACTATTTCTAATTCTAAACTGGTATTATTTATGGATGAAAGTAAAAAGAAAAAACTACTATATGAATACTTACCAGACATACTTGCTAGTTGCTACGCACCATAGTTTGATAACGTACCGTTTTCGCTGAGGTCTAAGTTTGTGTTACTTATATTGCTCAACATCCTCCATGTGGCTGGTTTCTGAAAAAGAAATTGAATTTAATATTAAAATTTCAAAGATTAAAAGATGTTTGATACTCATCAATATTAAAATAATTTAATATTTAATAGGTGTAAAAAATGACTTCACAAAACTTATTAGGAAAAGGATTCTAAAAACGTAAGCGATATAAGGTAATTAAGCTATTGTATAGCTTTTGTCGCGGGCTTTGAGCGCGGCGACCGAATCAAGAAATTCCGTAACGAAAAAACCTTACAAGAGTGCATATACCAATAGAACAATTATTTCAGACATAAATTAATTCGTCTTGCATATTGTTAAATAATAATGTAAATAAAAAATATTTTGTTAATATAGATAAAAAAACCATCCAAAAAACATAACAAAAAATGTAAGCTTTATCAACCTGGTGCATCTTAATATTCAAGGAATGATGGGTAAGGACTTAGAAATTGAATTATTTATGAATTGTAATAATATAGATATTTTTGAAGTTATACTTCTTTAGCCGCGTTATGAAAAAATTATGAGAGTGAAATTTTCATCACTGTAACACAAATTTTTAACATAATGAAGTTAGCCGCGGGCGCGTTATTTGTAATATTTTATTTTCCAAGTGACCGTGGGGCAGATTTGAACAAAGCAAACAGGGCAGATTTGAACGGGACATTGAAATGAGATGAGATGAGATGAGATGAGATGAGATGAGATGAGATGAGATAAGATGAGATGAGATGAGATGAGATGAGATGAGATGAAACTGATTAAATTCAGTAGTGATTTTAATTGAATATTTTGAATATTTATTTAATTTTTCAAATTGAAACTGAACTTAATTGACTGTGTTAACTATCCTTTTCCAGTCCTCTTATTATTTTATTGTAATTATTAATTATTTGCATGCAATTAAAAAATATTTTAATGATGCTAAAGAAGTATAACTTCTCACGCGCGTACATAAGTTACACGCATCCATTTTTTGTATTACAGAACACTGGCTTAAAAGTTATCAAAACATATTTAATTTTAATAATCAAGGTTGCTAGTTCGTTCAATCGAGAAAATGCAATTCGAGGTGGCTCTTTAATATTATGAATAAAAAACTAAAATTTAAGGAACGAAGAGATATTGTGAGTCTCGGTTGAGCGAACAATAGATATTGCCTGTGTGTAACTGGACCAGCTTGTTGTATTGAGCGTATACAGACCTCCATCAGCATATCATGGATGAAGCTCTTAAAAAAACTTACACTACAGGCAAACGGTTGGTTGTCTCTGGTGACTTCAATACTGATTTATTAGAAAAATTTAGTTCATGTACTAAAATAAAAATAAACAATCATACAACCTGAAAAACTTATTCATTGAGCCTACTAGCTACTAACAGCTGCCACTTCAGCCACTTGTATTGATAATATATATATACAGATATTATAACACAGAAAAAACAAATTATTAATAAACTAGATAGTGATCATTGTGGCCAGTTGATTGCATTTCCAATTCCATATCAGCTCAAGCAGGTGACCAAAAAAAATCACAGTTGTAACAAAATCTGCTAATCGTGTGGAATGTTTTAAAACTCATTTAGATAGAAAAATGTGTTATCTAAAAAAAAATGGTTGCCTGTAAAGTCGGTTTTACGGGCGAAGATTTTACGTGACAACGTCTTTTTCTCGGTAGAATATTTATTGATATGAATATAATTAAATTGCACAATAGGAACAAGGAATTGAATGAAAATAAGAATTGCACAAATTTTAACTATAGAAATATATTTTGTTTACTAAAACATTGTACATGTAAACTTAAACTTAACACGAGAGACTCATCGTAACGTTACCGAGCGTTACACTTTTTCATAAGTGACTCCCAGCCGCAACCTAATTTAAGACGTTGTCACGTCAATATAAAGACAGTCCAAATGATTTTTTTAATAATATATACTGCAATGTATTTAGTAATGTTTTTGTATCCAAAAAATATGTGTTAATGATGCGGTGACTTTTACTAAATGGGCTACACCTGGAATTCATAAAAGTAGAAGGACACTTTATGAACTTTATAATGAAAGAAACTGTAACACTGGTGAAAAATTTAAAGAGCATGTTCGTAACTTGTTGAAAAAAGTATGCCGCTTAGCAAAATTGTGGTGAAGTGTAAATCACGTGTTCTACGTGATGATAATCATCCCCGATACGATTAGCTATTTAAGCCCTAAGCACGTCGTATACGTATTATAAGTAGTATATAAGATGTAGGTTAAGTAAATAAAATGTTGATATCACATTGAACGCTCGTCGTGATTTCTCCCGAGTCACCCACACCCCATCTCCACATGGCGACCGTGACGTAGAAGATCGTGCTGCATCGGACGGGGTCCATTATGTAAGTTTTTGAAAATTTCAATCGACCATGGCAGCATACTTCTGAGCGCAAAGACCCAGAAGGGTTCGCAAAATTGAAGATGATTATTGAATCACGGAAAACTGCAAACAAATTACCTAAGCACTAAGTTCCTCGGTTTGACGTATATATGAAGATACCTTGAAGATGAAAATTAAAATACTGCAAAAGGGCATGGAAGCGACTACATTATTAAGAAGGAAAGAATGAATCATGAAGCTACATTTAAAGTTGTAGTGTCGTCAGGTTTAGCATTAAGAACAGTAAGTAAATAATTCCCGACATTTTTTTTGTTTTGTTAAAATAAATAAGTATTAAGATCTTAAAATACAGATTAATAGTTAATTCATCTCATTTTTTTATATTAGTTTTGTCCAGTAGTCTCTTGATTTATTATTTATTAAAGAATTTTCGCAATTTAAAGTTTTAAGATATTATTTTTAAAAATGGCAAGTTTTGATTTGGAGACCGCACTAGCCTTCTTACCTAGAATGACGGGAGAAGAGCATAACACACAATGTTTAATTAATAATATAGAATTTTACAGTAGCGTTATTGATAATAACTCGCAAATTACTTTAATTAATTTTGTTTTAAAAACTAGACTCTCAGAAACAGCAAAATTTTATTTAGAATCTTCTTATGATAGTATTAATCGTTTAATTAGTGACATGAAACATTATTTTTTACCGAAAAAGTGTCCATCAGCGATTCAATTTAAATTATTTAAGTGTAAACAAGGAAGTAGGTCTATAGAACAATTTGGTTTAGAGATCAATAAATTGTTATCTGAATTAACTATTGCTCAATCTGAAAATGATCAAGAAAAGATAAAAATTTTGCTTCCGATAAATGAGCTATTTGCAATAAGATGTTTTGCTGAAGGGTTAAATAGTAGTCAAATAAGTTTAATTTTAAAGTGTAAACAGCCCACGTTATTAAAAGATGCTATTCAAATAGCACTCGAGGAATATATTACATCATCGAATAGAGAGGAAAATATGATTCAGCAATGTAATTACTATAATTCAAGGTTAAGTGACAGACCGAGAGTAAGAAATTATTATTTTAAAAATTACAGCGTAGCAAGTAAAAAGAATGTTCGCAATACGTTGGAATCTCGCATTCCGCGCTACGGTCAAGTTCAAACGCGCAAAGCGCTAGATAAGCAAAATCGTGCTCAAATCGATGAGGTGTGCTCTATTAAAAATACTTGTAATACTGAGGTAATGAATTCTATACATAGTTTTAATGACGAATGTTATGATTTAAAGTTAGACGAATTTTTTTCAGAAAAAGAACTATGTTGTAAAAATAATTTGCTAAGTAAAAGCAATGGTAACTTAATTAAGTCTAACCAATGTAAGGAAAAGCGAAAAGCTTCTTATAAAATACGAAAGGAAAATATGTTCGCAATTGACGAGATCACAATGTCTAATGATAACTCTAAGAAAGAGTTCCCTGCAATTAAAGCAGATTATGTAAAAGCTAGTACTTATGTAAACGTAATTGTTAAAGAGTATTTTAATGACAAAATAGACAATAAGAAGTATGTGCATTCTAAATATAAATTATGTGTTTATGCACCTTTAAGATGTGAAATGTATATAAAGTCTGTGTCATTCCTAGAAGAGAAGAGACTAGCGAAAGATGTTGAATTGCTTTGTAAGCATTTACAAATAAAAGGTTTGATAATTAATGAAAAATGGGTTAAAAGTTTTAATAACTTAAGGGAGAAATATAACGTTGTATTACCCATATTAATTGTAAAAAGTGATTCGAAAGATAAAAATGGCAAAATTGTCTTAGAGGTTGTTAATAAATATAATACGAATGAGCCTGAAAGCTCAAGCAATGACAGTATTTTATCTAAAATTTATTATACAAATAAGCGTAATAAGAAATATTTTATTAGCAAAATAAATAATTGTTTTCAAGATATGCTATTTAGGAAGAGATACAACCAACGTGATGTTGGTATAGATTAATAAAAACATAAAATTCGTAATTGTATGTTATGTTATTTTTTTTAAAAATCAACGTAATTATAATTGTTTAGTAATTATAGTAAGGATTTAATTCTGATAATAATTTGTCTTTATAAAATTTTAGGTAATTTTTAATAAAGTAAATTAAATAATTTAAGTTATGTATATATGAGATTAGTGAATCTCTTAAAAAGGATTATAACATGTTGTTATGTATAATATGTTATTAATCGAGTTACATAATATGTTTTAAAGTAGAAGAAAAATTTTTAGGGTCTTCCTTTTCAGGGGAGGGACGCCTAACGTTTCAGGGGAGGTGTGGTGAAGTGTAAATCACGTGTTCTACGTGATGATAATCATCCCCGATACGATTAGCTATTTAAGCCCTAAGCACGTCGTATACGTATTATAAGTAGTATATAAGATGTAGGTTAAGTAAATAAAATGTTGATATCACATTGAACGCTCGTCGTGATTTCTCCCGAGTCACCCACACCCCATCTCCACAAAATCAAATTACTTAAGTTCAAAGATTAAGAACAGATATGACAAAATCAAAACAACATGGAATATTATAAACGATGAAACTGGAAAATCCAAAACTCGCAATAATAATTATAACTTAAATATTGATAGCAAAAAGGTTACTTCAGATATTGAAGTTGCTACAGCTTTCGAAAATTTCTTTACTGTTATGCCAGTTTCAACTGCTAAATCTTTGAACTCTTCCCCCATTGCTGCCGAATCAATCTTAAGAGAAAACGTGAAACCTTGTATTAGTCATTTTCATTTTGAACACGTTAACTTTATTTATTTATTTATTTATTTATCTTTAACAAAGTTTCTACAGCGGTTTTTGTGAAATTTAATACAATAAAATATAGATATAATCTTAAAGCCAATTACAGAAACTCATTACGTACACATTAGATATTAACGGCGTTATTATATGTCAGTAATTATTACATTTAATTTAATTTAATTTTAAAAATTGCATAACAATCATATAATTCATTAACATAAAAATAAAATAAAATTAAGATTGGACAAAAACATAACAAAAAGACAAAAAAGAAGAAAATCAAACACTGAATATCCATATAAATATATTAAAGATGTAATTAAAACGTTTCACCAATTCAATAAAAAGAAAACCGCGGATCTGTGGGGCAATTCCGTTGATGTTTCTAAATCGGTAATTGGAAAATAGCTCCTATTCTAGCTTGCATATTTAATGATTGTGGTGACTGTGGTCTTTTTCCTGACCTCATGAAATACAGTAAAATTACTCCTTTGCATAAAACGGGAAGTACATCAGACCCCACAAACTTTAGACCAATTTCGGTACTACCCAGGTGGGTAGTAAAATTTTCGAAAAACTCATGTTAAATCAAATGCAATCACATTTTAATAAATATACAATACTTCACTGTAAACAATTTGGTTTTACACGGGGTCGTTCAGCAATCGATGCCGGTGTTGAACTTATACAACAAATTTTTTACGCCTGGGAGAACACGCAGGACGCTCTAGGTGTGTTTTGCGACTAGTCCAAGGCTTTTGATTGCGTTTTTCATAAAACATTACTCAGGAAACTCCACCACTATGGATTTAGAGATACCGATCTGGATCTTATTGCATTATACCTGAGGGATAGGATTCAGAGGGTTGATATTAATGGTAATAAGTCTCCGGGTTCGTCGGTTAAGATGGGTGTTCCGCAGGGCTCAATCCTAGGTCCATTCTTATTTTAAATTTATATTAATGACTTACCTTACTATGTAAGAGATAATAATGAGATAGTATTGTTCGCGGATGATACATCACTTTTATTTAAACTCAAACGCAAGGAAAAAGTTATTGGCGACGTGAATAATTGTATCTCTAAGGTAGTCCACTGGTTCAATATTAACAATTTATTACTTAATGAAGGAAAAACGAATGTATACCTTTATGTAAAACAAAAACCAGTGAGTATGTAAAGGATAGGAATGTGGGCCTTGTAGACACCACAGTATTGTTAGGGATAACTTTAGATTCTTAGCTTCAATGGGGCCTACATATTGATAAATAAACTTGCTTGGGTTTGAACTGTTCCAATCATTCCAACAGGTTTTCTCCATTAAATAAATCACAATTAATGTTGTAGAGTATTTTTCGCTCGTTTTTCTCTGCAGCTAAAAAATATGTCCATAACAAGTGGTAGGGCAAAAAAATTTTGGACGATTCAAAAGAGTTGTATACTATACATCCAATTTGAATAAAGATATATAGATTTCTGATTTCTGAACACAATTTTCGCCATTCCAGTATCGATCTAAACGGTGCAGTATGTTAAATCTTTGCCACGGGACCAACGTTCGACGCTTCACCGCGGTCGTCGGTTCAAATCCCGAATTCGCATTTTTAATTTTTATTATTATTTTTTTCCTGTTTTTTATATATTTGTTTTAGACCCCAGCACCTGTACTTATTTTTATTTGTCTATCTTTTATTTAGACTTTATAATTATAATTTAAAATTTTGGACTAAAGATGGTAAACTGTGGAACTTGTGGAAGTTTTTTGGCGCCGGGCAATGCTGTTGTTTGCTGCTGAGCTTGCCCAATAAAATATAATAAGGCCTGCCTCGCCATCCCGGAAAGTCGCGTGTCAGCAAGGACTGGATATGCCCGAATTGCAAGAGGAGCACACGCAGGGGTGACAACACGCATACGCCTGTAAAGGGTATCAGCGAATCTTCCGAGCCCGAAAAACCTGTCGCTGCACGGGAACCTGTCGACCTGGTCAGGGGCTCTCCAAAGGAAGATGAGGTCCAGGGTAAGGTCAAGGAGAACGTCGCCGGAAATAATCACACCAGTGATATAAAAAGTATGCTGGCAGCGGCATGAAGGAGATGAGGGAATTCCGCTCGGAGATGGCGGCCTTCCGCAGTTCTTTTACCGTTCGACTTGACTCCTTCGAGTAGAGAATTGCGGTGTTGGAGCAGCGTCAAGTGGATCCTGATGCAACTGGTAGGATGGACTTGGAGCGCACCGAGCTGCGCGCCGAGGTTAACGACCGCGATCAAGAGGCGTTGATGTCCGACCTGGAGATCGGCGGGTTGTCCGAAGAGGGGGCAACGTCAGCGTGGAGCAGAGCATCACCATGCTGGCCGTGCGGCTGGGACAGGCGGGACTTGGTGTTCGCAGAGCGTGTGGGCGCGCCGCCCGCCGAGGTGCGGGGCGGGCCGCGCCGTGTGGTGGTGCGCCTGGCGCGCCGCCAACTGCGCGACGTCCTCTTGACGGCCGCGCGTGTGCGCCGCAGGGTCACTGTTGCGGAGGTTTCTCAGGATGGCGCCCCCTGAAGAGGGCGGCCCGCCGGCCACCGCCGTGGGGGGCGGCGCTCAGGTCTACATCAACGAGCGCCTCACGCGCACCAACCGCCAGCTTATATAACTCCAAGCAGGCCCTGCCAGAATATCAGCCCTGGCGCGACACAATGTCGTATCAGCTAACGCGGAGGCAGGGTCCTGGTTAGCCTTTCCTGTATGAGTTCCTTTTAACATGTTGTATTTTTAAAGGGTTTAATATTTTCTTTCTTTCTTTCTTTTAACACCCCCCACTCCGACCGGTACAGCGGTGCGGCGGTGAAAGCCGTGTATCGTCTAACGTCGTTTCAGTTGCGCAGACTTGGGCACGGTGTTTATATGCGTGTGACAAGGAATTACGCTTAATGGTTTCTTTTTTATTATTAAAAATAATCACTTGATAAGATATTAGAAACTGCTACGTAATAAATACCTTATGGGACGTGATGTCTGCTGTCTGGACCCGTGGATGACTTGTTGTCCACTGCACCATTAACTTCTTAATAAAATCCACAGGCGTTTGCGAATACCTTAAGTAGACTGCACCATCGAGTGTTAACCAAAAGGCTTTTATTTTATAGATGTGTATCAAAGCTTTATTAAATCATGAAAAACCTTTAATGGATTCCTTATCACTTTTAAGAAAGTTTGTATTGGATATATAATGTATTTCTAGTCTGGATAAGAAGATATTTTACAAAATAGAATACTTACTGTGATTGGTTGATAACATGGCCGCCCATCATAAGTCCATATGTTTTTGTTTTCTTTTAAAGAAAGGAGCAATGTTTTGTTGTACTGATAATATGACGATTATCTTTGAATGTTTTAAAGAGATTTATGTTAGTATAAAATGAAATTATTAGACTACCATAGACTTTAATAATTATATTGTTAAAGATGGCGCCACTAATAACTTGTTTGAGGACGGTGGGTCTAAAGTATAAATTCAGATTTCTGTTAATTTGACATTCATTACTTTATCAGCGAGTCTTCGGATATTAGTGTGCAGCCTAAACAGCCAGGGTCATGTGAGTTAAGTAATCATTTTCCTATTGTTGTTTATAACTTTTATTGGAATGATATCATTGTTTAATATTGTAAGTTATATTAAAATAATATGCTTTTGTCATTCACAAAAGAAGTTTAGTTATTTGCGAGTAAAGATTTTATACTTTGTTTTGATAATTTGATTTAAATAATCTGTATGAAATAAAACAGGGAGAAAAGAGCAGCCCTTGCTGAGTTTCTTGCCGGTTCTTCTCAGTACAAGGTCTCCCGCCGTAGTTTTGCGAACCGATGGCGTAGTTTTCGACTTTCACATGTAATTGTAAAAGCTTAAACTGAATAAATGACTTTTGAATTGAATTGAATAAATAGTGTTTTTTTTAAATATTTATAATTTCGAAGGTAGATATTTTTCTTATAAAGTAAAGAAATCTGAGTCTATTGTACAGATATATTTCAATTCTATTTCTTTTTATTACTATATAGAAGTTGCAAAGTGTTTATAAAATAAATAAATAATGAAATCATAACACGTGCGACTAGACGTATGCGTGTAGGCTAGCTGCTAACTGCTCATAACTGATTCTATCTTTCCTCGCGCTTTCGTGCAGTTTCTGGGAGTGATTACATGAAATGGGACGGAAGTGTGTAACAGGAAGTTTGGTAAACGCGCGTTATTTGATTTGATTTTAGAACATAATGTTCAAATGACTTATTCCTTTTGTAGTAGGTTTTATTTCTTTTTTTACTAATATAAGGTGAGGTTTCAAATGTTACACATCATGTAACTTCCTCCTTTCCTCTCGCTTTTCTGCAATTAGTGGGAGTGATTTCGTCAAATGGGACGGAAGTGTGTAACAGGAAGTACAGAAGGCGTATGTCGTCTATATTTCATAGTAAGTAAGTACTTTGATATTAAGATATACGAGTATGAGTCCCGTCCGCTGCCTGGTCCGCGTGGTTTTTTTTTCTAGTAAACTTTTCTTTAGATTTAAACATCTAGCAGTTAAATGCTTAAAAATAAATAAAAACATAACTACTTTGATATTGTTAATCCCTGACCTCCGTCATATGATGCGCCTCCTTATCATACTGTCGTGCGTCTCCGGCAGCGCCGCCAGCATCAGGCACGGCGCGGCGCGGGCTGTCACCGCCTGCCAAATACTCCCTGCATCAACAAATGAAACACTTATAATACGCAATAAGCTTATGTCATCATGATTAAAATGCAAGTCTATCTTCACAGTAGGACATGATACGCCCAAATTGTAAAGATAAATATGCGTTACATTTGCATATTGCCTGTCATATTCCCACCGTTTTCGGTGATTATCAACGACTAGGTACATAAATTGAAGCGTCTACGTCACCGCCGGCGCCTCCCGCATCGGGCACAGCGTGGCGCGTGCAGAAACGCAATAAACTTATGTCATAATGATTAAAATTGGATGTCTAGATTTTCACTGTAGGACATGATGCGCCCAAATCGTAGCTAAATAAATAAATATGCGTTGCTATCGCGAGCTGAACTACGTATCAAATCTCCTACTGTAAATAAAAATTGGTTTTCGTTTATTATCGTAGGATCGCGGCACCTCGCGGCATGGGAGTCTCGACCGCGTGCGGGTCGCGCGGGCAGCACCAGCGACGCCGGCAGCAGCAGCACGCTCTCTGCACCGGCGCGGGCGCGGGCGCGGGCGCGGGCGCCGACGCCCTCCCCGCACCCGCCGCACCCGCCGCACCCGCCGCCGCATCCTTCTACGTCACCAGTTGTGTTCATCGCCGCCTATCCAATAACAAGCATAAATTCAGATAATTTTAACTTGTTACTTTATTAGTAAAATTTATGAATGATGTTATTGATACTTATGATATCAGATGGGGAACTAAAGAAAGTGAAGTAGGAAAACGATTACCTAAAAAATGACGTAAAATTAAACTCTGTTCTGGGATCGATCACGGTACTTAGAATTTTACGTTGATAGGCTTGAAATTTTAAGTTAGTTTATCAATTTACCGCGAGACGTCGTAAATTGATACATCATCATCATCATCGGCCTATTAATGTCCCCACTGCTGGGGCACAGGCCTTCCCTATGGATGGAATAGGGAGATTGGGCCATAAATTGATTAATTTACGATAATGTTCCTGTAAGATAATATATTTTATCTCTCGTTTACATTCTTACGAAAGTTGATAAATTTACTAGGAAAATGATAAACTCATGGAATTTATTATATTCCGATGGCATATACATTTTTCTTCAATTCAGATTTAAAATTTCAAAACAGAATAAATACATACAGTAATTGTCTCTCGGTCGCCTAAGCCTCTACGGACATCTTTTTTCTCTGGATTCTGACACCGCTTTGTACTAGGCTTTTAACGCCCACAAAGAGGTGTTATCGCCCATTTTGGAATATATTAATTTAGATTAATGGTAATTGGGATCTTATATAGTGGAAAACGCACGTTTATTACGTAAAAGTGCCGCAGAGGGCTAGAGGCGCGCGGCAGTCGCGGCGAGTGCCGCGCCGCTGCCGCCGCCGGCGCCGGCGCCGAGACCCGCTGCTGCTGCACCACCACCTGCAACGTTACCACATCGCTACCACTGAATTATTATTATGCTTTAATGCAAATATACGATAAATAAGTATTTGTAATTAAACTGTTACTGTTGGCTTTCACATGTAGTACACACGTGTTTTATTTAGTCACACTTTTTGTCTTTATACCATTTCTCAAAGATACAGAAAAAAAAGTAATATACCTGGACGTAGGAGCTGCTGCTCACGGGTAACGGGTGGGATCCGCCGTCGCCGCCGCCGCCGGCGCTGCTGGCGGAATCGCCGCAAACGGGCCTTGATGCAGGCAAGCTGCTACTGCAGCTGTTTGAATGCCTATCTGATACAATAATATTATAGTTTTATGAGACATCGCACATTTTATATAATTTTACTAGCTGACCCAGCGAACTTCGTACCGCCATAAAAAAAATTAATTAAAAAACATTGTCCAGCGGACAAAATTGTGAATCTAAACCATTCTCAGATCCCCTTGAACACACACAAAAAATTTCATCAAAATCGGTCCAGTCGTTTAAGAGAAGTTCAGTGACATACACACTCACAGAAGAATTATATATATAAATATAATAATCAAACATTGTGAAACTGTAAGTCAGTATTTTCGTCCGCAGCCTAATTTGTCTCAATTCAATAAAACGGTGCATTAAATGCATTCAATCAATGCGGTTATGTAACTGTAACTACTTAAAAGAAATAATTGCCCTTGATGAATTATGAAGGTAGACCATGGGCTGGTGACAGCATTGGACTGGGCGTTAGGCTCTTGCTCAGAAAACAGTAATTTTATTTTAAATAAGCTCAACTGCGCATTAATCTAAAAGTACATCCGCGGACGGGACCGCGTGTAAACTGAGAGCAGAAACGGAAAAATTACCGTACCTATGTAGGTACTTACCTAAAGTTATATTAGCAATTTCCACTTCTTTTGCTTCGACTCCTCTATTTGTGGTCCTGTTGAGATTGTCGCCGCCGAACTTTGTCATAATTCACTATTAACAATTAGTTCTACAAAACTAGAACAATGTTCTTTGAGAGGTTTATAATTCTATATAGCTAATATTTAATGACAGAAATGAAAAAGTTGAATAAATATTGAGGTTGTATCGTTTACGCGATATCAATAAAATTATTGCAGTTCGTTAAAAGCTTACCGTACGTTTTATTTCCATAACACGCCATATAATTGACTGGTGCTGTCATGTTGACAAAAGTCACATTTAATCGAATTTTTCAAACTAGCACACAAAAGAGATGGTAAGTAAAGGCAAGAAGGGAAATACCAAAAATGTACGCATGGCGCCTGCACTAAAGGCGCCTACACGCCGCCTATTTGTGGGCATTGTATGGACACTGCAAAAAGAATTAGGTTTTCCGTGGGTCCTCTGGGTGGACCGCAATCCCAAATCTGACCCCAGATTCAGATTTAGCGACCACTAATTACTATGTATCCAAGTTTCTAGGCATGGAGCAGAAGAGAAAAGAATGACTTTATAATATAATGGACAGGTTATACGCTAACATTATTGCATTTTAAAATGGCACAAGTAGTCCCCGCTCCAACTTCTCCTGATGAGCCATTAAAAAATAAAGAAGGGGAACTTCCCTTGGCAACAGCTGCACATAGAGCGCACTAAAGTAGTATCTTTCACTCTCATGCATAAAGCAGATTACATCTTGCTCGTTAGCCTCCATGCGTCAACCGTATCAGCAACTGTCAAAATAAGTTTTTTTTTTAATAATAATAATAGTTTATTTTTCCACAAAGATAATGATTACATAGCTTATTATCATATAGATATGACACAATTTTAACATAATATTATAGCTGCTGGTACTTAAAAAAGAATACTCTGTGCTATAAGTACCAGCCTCTCTCCAAATTCACATCATTTGATTATTGAATTTTAACTCAAAAACTTTGACAATCATTAATTTATGCAATATATATACATATATATATGTGTGTGTGTGTGTGTGTGTGTGCGTGTGTGTGTGTGTGTCTTTTTCTGTTGTCCATGCACCGACTGGTTTAAGAAGTTCCTCTGTTTCTTCATAATTTAATTTTAAGAGCCAATCTGTAACCATTTTTTTACACGCATGTTTACTTTTGTGTAGTATGTTCAATTTACTATTAATTTTATTATATAAGATGCATCCTAAAAAGTAATAATATTTACGACTAAAAGAAGTTCTGAATGTTTTAGTACGTGGAATTTTAACTTTTCGTCTAGATTTGTTGCTTTTAACAAGGCTGTTTAAATTTATATCACAGTGCCGCTTAAGAATGATTTGCAATATAAACAATTGTCGTACTGTCAGAACTTCACAATACTCATAAAGATCCTTCGTAGGAAAGCGGTAAGGCTTAAAGGTACACACTTTTAATACGGCTCTTTGTGCCCGTTCAAGTCTTAATAGGTGGGTTTTACATGCACCACCCCAGGACAATATGCAATATCCCAGTAAGGACTGGCATAGGGAATAGTATACGGTCTTCATGATTTTTGGATCAGCAACATGTCTTAAATGCTTAAAGATAAAGATAAGTTTGCGGATTATTTAGCCTGTACCTCAATTTGTGGAGTAAATGATAGTCTTTCATCCAGAATCACGCCTAAATATTTGATTATTGGTGTGCTACCCAGTACTGGGCAATCACACTGGCATTTTGTGTCCCTGTGGTTATGTGCCCGTATATGGAATTGTTCTGGGTTCAGATGGTTAAATTCGTTTGATGTTAAACTGTAGATAATTGGTTTTATCAATATTTAATGACAAGGTGTTGTCAGAGGGGTCAGTTCAAGTTTAAACATGTCATTTAGATATATCAAAAAGAGGGTGGGCCCTAGTATGCTTCCCTGAGGTACTCCATATTCCACCGGAAGTGCATCACTTATATACTCGTCAATCTTTACAGACTGCGTGCGGTCGGTGAGGTAACTTTGGAACAACTTATACTGGTTGCCTCTAATTCCCGGTTTCTCCAATTTATTAAGAAGATTTGGGATGGACCCCATATCGAAGGCCTTAGCCAAATCTAGAAATATCCCTACACACTTTTTGCCTGTGTCCAATGAATTCACAACGAAGTTGGTTAGTTCATGTACCGCATCGTTGGTGGATTTATTAGTTCTAAAACCAAATTGTCTGTCTGATATCAATTTATTGTCCTCAAGATATTTTTTAAGGCGGTTATTCATCACTCTTTTGAGTACTTTAGATAGAGCCGGTAATACTGATATTGGACGATAATTATTTACGTTGTTTCTGTCTCCAGATTTGTGTATTGGATGTATCAGTCCTTTTTTGAGTAAAGCAGGGAACTCCCCATTCCTGATGCACAAATTGACAATGTAAGTTAAGGGAGGGACGAGAACCGACTTGTATGTCTTAAGAATGCTGGATGAAATTCCATCGATACCAACAGCACAATTAGTCCTCAAAGAATTTATTATACTTTTAATTTCTGTTTCGTCAACTTCAAAAAGTACAAAAGAAGCACAAAGGCCGCTATGTTGTAGTTTAGATGCTTTACTAATCTTAGTAAATTTTGGAACCTTACTTGCGAGATCTTTTCCAATACCAACAAAAAACTAGGTTAGGTTAGGATAGGTTAGGTTAGGTTAGGTTAGGTTAGGTTAGGTTAGGTTGGGGTTCCGCCCTCTTTTTGGAGAGGGGAGCGATAGTGCAGTGTCGCTACCGGACGCGTCCCCCGGGTTGCGGATAGGGGAACGCCCCCCAGATATGGGGGGTACCGGCTTCGGCCGGCGTGGACAGCTACTGCACGCGGTGGGGGCGATTCAGCCCACGGCGCACTCGCGCCTCTGTTGTGGGGGCCCTTCTTAGGGCCAGTGGACTTTCTGTCGGCGGATGGCTTGCCTTCAAGGCTCGCGGAACTTTTTTGTTCATTTGACGTCGGGCTTTTGCCCAGAGGAACCTCGGTTCGTAGGATGGCGGACAGTGTTCGCGGGAGTGTTCTGACGCTCCACGTGGTAAACCCACGCCCGGGTCTAACCAACCTGGTTTTTGGGAGGGGCTTGCCTTTGTTGGTCGGCCCAGCGGCCGCTTCGGCGGCGTGGGATGGCAGTCCTGTTAGGTCTGCGCGCGCGGCGGCCCCGTGGCCACGGTTTGTGGCTGCTGGGGATTGGCTACGGCCTACCGTCGGGCAACCTGGAATCCTGTGTGTGTGTGTCGTTGCCATGTCTAGCGGCACATGCACAGGACCAGGGGGGCTTGCCTTTACCGGCTGGCCCTGAGTGGAGCATACCACGTAAAAAAACCCCTCAGTTCCCGTTCAGCGGGTTAACTGCCACTGGGACACCACGGTGGCAGACGCCTTAAGGTGGTGGCTGGGTAATGCCACCAGCTAGTGGTCAACCCTGGGGTACCGCTCGCCCCCCCAGGTGTATTAGAGTTACCCGGGTGCAGAGGGCACCACCCGGGCGGACATTTTAGTTCCCTCATGCTCGTGGGATAAGGATGAGTACTGATAATAAAAACCCAAACCCAATAGTTAAACTAGATAGATTAAGTTTTAGACGAAGTGGAAGCAATCGCCCCTCCGTGGGCAACGTTGAGGCTAACGCACCACCTGCTGGTCGCGTTGAGCGAGAAAAAGAGGAAGACCCTAGCAGTGGTATGGAACCGATGTCGGATTGTTCGATATCCAGTACAGAAACGCTAGGATCCCAAGTTGGTACAGCCAAAGCTGCTGAAGTCGGAACAACGGTAGCTGGACGCAAGCGCACCCGGAAGTCCAGGGCTGCTGGTGCAACCGCCCGATCAGATTCCGAAGGCGAGCTTAGTGACAAATCGGTCTCAGCACCCAAGTTAAAGCCGAAGTGTGCAGGTCGCGGCAGAGGCCGCCCGCCTACAACGGGCGAATATGTAGGCCTAGCGAAAGCGCAGAAAGCCCTTAATGAGGCCAAGATGGAGGAGCTGCGGCTCCGGGCCGAGGAAAGCATGGCCGAGGAACTTGATCGGCGAAGCCTGCGCTCAGGTTCAGCCCACTCAAAATACTCGGACGCTGCTATGTCCGCAGATGAAGGCCCCTTAGCCTCTCAAATCTTTGAGGCTATTAATAAGGACGCCGATTTAGTTCGGAGGGTTGCCAAAACTTCGGGCAACCTCAAGGGCACATTTCAGAAGGCCCTTCACGATGCCGCGGACTCAATTGTCCAGAACACGTTGGCAATTCTTCGTTGCACCGAATCTACCGAAACCGCCAAACTAAAGGTGGATAAGAAACGGCTGCAAGACGAAGTTGTTGAACTGCGCAAGGGGATAGAGGAGCTGCGCGCAGAAGTTAAGGCACTCAGGGACGGCCACACAACCGTGATACCTCCCTCCGAGTCATCGGCATTGCCACCCCTGCAGTCAAGCGCGACGAACATGCCGTCGCTATTTGAAGAATGGTCGCGTCGAATGGTTGATACAATTGGCAACATGATCAACTCTCGACTTGAGGTCCTAGAGCGCGACAATCGCATATTGATGGCCAAGATTCTGAGACCTCCACTAGCCTCTGACAGGCCAAAGGACAGGTCGGTATCCAGATCCTCTCAACCGAGGTCTGCGGGTCCCGCCGCATACTCTGAAGTCCCTCCACCGGAGATGCCTACTCCTCCAGCTCCACCAGCTGGTAAGGGTGGAAAGAAGGCCAAGAAAAAGAAAAAGGCCACAACAGCACCGACTACTACCGCTGCCGCTGGCCCTATTCAATCCACCCCTGACAAGGTGCCAGTCGCGCCCAAGCCCAATAGTGAGGAATGGGTCACTGTGGCAAAGCGCCCCAAAAAGAAGGCCCAAACAGCTGCATCCGCGGCTCCTACTCCCAGCGCTAAGTCGGGCGCACAGAAGAAGGCTGCACCTAAAAAAGCGAAGCTTCGAGAACCCCGTTCAGCGGCGGTGGTACTCACCATTGATTCAGAAGCTGCGAAGGATGGTCTCTCTTACGCAGATATCATAAGAAGTGCAAAATCCAAATTGAATCTGGAAGAACTCGGTCTCTCGGCAGCAGGCTTCAGAATCAGGGAGGCCGCCACTGGGGCTCGTATTTTGCAAGTCTCCACTGAGAAATCGGCTGTTGAGAACCGAACCAAGGCCAGCCTGGTGGCCGAAAAGTTGCGCGGCGTCCTACCAGTGGAGGTCAAGATTTCAACTCCCTGCAAACGAGCAGAAGTTCGACTATCGGGATTGGACGACTCGGTCGTTGACGAAGAGATCAAGACAGCCATCGTAAACAAGGGTGGTTGCTCCTCTGGTGACATAACCATCGGCAAGATCCGGATTGGTCCTGATGGTCTAGGTACGGTACTAGTGAAATGCCCTGTGGCTACCGTCAAAACTCTGGTTGATGGAGGCCGACTCCTTGTTGGATGGAGTTCGACCCGAGTGCAGGCACAAGAGCCCCGGCAGATGATCTGTTTCCGCTGCCTGG